CTGGCATAGAAAGCAGAGTTAGCTCCGTCATCTAAAATAACAACCTATTAAATCAGGGATTTCTATAAAGATTTCTTAATAAATAAATACTTACAAGTGATTACAGGACGGAAACCATTAGCATCAGCTAGATACTTGACTCCCACTCGCAGACCCTCGGGTGTGATAAAGGAGTGAGGCACCCTCCACTTGCTCCTCCTGCTGTTGGTTACCAATGTTCACTGGCACTCCCGCTCCTCGCCATGGATGCCATTCTCCGTCTCATAGTTATATAGGCATACGAACCAGCACCATAGTTCACATCATTCTTCTGCTCCACAATTCTGGCCTGAGCAGCGGCAATACTAGGGATTGTATTTTTATAGAAGCCATCTTAGAAGCGATGCAGATTGTAAAGATCACGATTTCTGTACAGATCCCTGTAGTAAGGGTTCCTCAAATAAGGATTGTATTGAGGTTGTCCTTCACAGGCAATAAGAGCCAGGGTGAACAAAAAGGCCGGAAAACTGAAATCACTTGCAGTATTAGATCACATCACTCTTGGAAATTTACTTAGTATTACCAGCTTCAACGACATTTTAGACTTTATTTTTAGCAACTTTTAACGATGATCTGTCCGACAGAACTGTAACAGCTTCCTCGGCAAACGGATCGTTTTATAACCAACTTTGAGTCCCAACCAGCTCATTTTGCATAAGACTTCAAATTTCGGTCCATAAAATTCATTGTATTCGGCCAAATGGCCAGCGAAAAAACTTTCAGACCAGAGAGTTTGACAGTTTCCGTTTAGAATTTAGATTGGTTTTTTATTATAATTCGCGTATCTTTTTTGTTTGTATAATTTAAATTAAGAGCAACATTGAGATAAACCAGAGAGAAGCCGACAAAACGATTGGCTAAAAACAGGCTAAATAACCCAGCTGGGGGGCGTTAAGTGTTTATTCGTGTTTAACTATATGAAGATATAAATGCTAATTCAGATTATGGACATAAGTTTTTCAGTATTCAGTAGTGAAATTCGAGAAGCCAGCGAATAAATTGAATGAGATTTACATTTTCCATTATTATCCACCCACTTAGGCTTACATCACTAGTACAAAATTAAGTATTAATTAACTTTCTATAGATATTTTGCAGCACGAATACCATTTATTTAAATTAAAAATATTTTAAGTAATCAATAAGGCAACTAACTTTTGCACCTATATACATATATATATTTATATTTCGATTGTGTCGATTATAATTTATTGTTTCCATCAGAAATTGAGGTGAATAAAGCATGAATGGGTCGACTGAGACCCGAGACCCGAGACTCGGGCACATGAATAAATATGAATGAAGTTGGAGTTGGCTGTGGCTTTGGAGGATTGGGGGAAGTCATCTCGATTGCATCGCCGGCCTTCACATTTCGCGTGCGATTTGACAGCAGTCAACGAGTGCAACAATAGCTATGTAATTGTGTCTACACTAGTCAGCAAAAGTCACGTGCCAGCCAAGACAAGTTTTCGTTTTTATTAATTGGACTCTTTTATGTGGACCTTTAAAACAAGAATATTATTTATTTAACGACCTGAATTAGCATTCATATGGCTGAGATAGCTGAGAACAAAACAAATTGAGATCAATAGGCAATCGGAGTCTACCACAAAACAAATTTGATTTCTAGTCAAAACAGAACCCGCCTTTGCTCACATCTGCGGTCTATAAATGTCCAAATGTTGGCAATTCGTATATTTTATGGTTCCGATTTTGAAGTCTCGACTCCGCGGAATGCGTTAAATAAGATCTGTCTATGGATCGGACAAAAGATCTTTATTAGCTCATTTCCATAAACGAGCCGCTGAATATTTGTCTTCTAATTAATTGGCTCGAATTTATTTAACTTTTTGTATTTAAATATTCATTGAGAATTAGCTGTGTTAGCTTTGAGTTCGCCTTATCTTGGTGTGCCTAAACTTGTTGTCTGTGGTTTTATAAATTGTTAAACAGCACACTTAACATGTAATCGAGACCATTGAAGGAGTTCCGTCTCGTGGCAAGATAATTTAAATATAATATTTGTATCTCCTATATTCACTTTGGTACTGGTCAACCGATGTCAACCCGGAAGGTGAAATGCAAACCGCATTCTAAATTATTAATCACAAATTTAAAAAGAACAAATTAGCCTAACACCTGACTGACAAAACAATTAGAACATAAATTATTCAATGGCAGTAGGCCAACCCTCGTCCTTTAGCCGTTATAAAACTAATAGACTTTGAATGCCAGAGCTCAGTTAAGGTGACGAGTGAAAATGTCAGCAGACACAGTGCCGCGGAAAATGGGAAAACCTCGTTCCTACGATGATTACACCTACATGGCAAGCATGATGTTCAAGACCCTGGGATACGATCTATTCGACTCACCCAGACCTAGATGGCAGAATCTCCTCTTAACTAGTTACTTCGTTTTGTGTTTGGTCAGTAACTCCTACGGGGCCTTCATGTTGACTTTGAGGATCATTCAGTGGGAGTCCTTGGCAGGAAGTCCATCAAAGATTATGCGACAGGGTCTTCATTTCTTCTATATGTTCAGTGCCCAGTTGAAATTCGTTACCTTTATGATATATAGAAAACGCCTACGATTGCTGAGTGATAAATTGAAAGATCTATATCCGCATGATGAGGAAAGGCAGAAAAAGTACGACTTGAATAGATTTTATCTCTCACGAACCACTCGAAATGTTTTGTATTTCTATTACTTTGTGATGATTGTTATGGCTCTAGGACCTCTAATACAGTCGTGCATTATGTACATGATAGGTTTTGGAAACGCTGAGTTTCCCTATAAACGCATTTTCCCCACACGCTTTAGCTTTGATTCAGAAAAACCTTTGGGCTATGTAGTGGCCTATATAATAGACTTAACCTATAGCCAATTCATAGTAAATGTGAGTTTAGGGGCAGATCTTTGGATGATGTGCATTTCGAGTCAGATTTCAATGCACTTTGCCTATCTGGCCAAGGTGCTATCGTCGTATTGCCCAAGTCGAGAATCAGAAAAACAAGATTGCTGTTTCTTGGCAAGTCTAGTTAAGAGACATCAACTATTGCTTAGGTAAGTAACTTTAACTTTTTTAATTAATTGTAGCTATTAAAGTCCTTTCTAGCTACCACAAGGATGTGAATATTGTATTTGGACTTCTATTGGCCTCAAATTTGTTCACCACTGCTAGCCTACTCTGCTGTATGGCTTACTATACCGTCTCCCAGGGTTTCAATATGGAAGGCATATCCTATATGATGTTATTTGTTAGTGTGGCAGCCCAGTTCTACATGGTCAGCTCACATGGCCAAATGCTTATTGACTGGGTGGGTTATTTACTTACTTATATATTAAATAATATAGTTGCTAATTTTCCTTCTCAGAGTACCAATATAGCTGATGCTGTATATGAACATAGATGGTATGAAGGAACCTTGCGATACAAAAAGGATATGCTTATTCTTATGACCCAGGCCCAACGTCCAGTGGAAATATCAGCCAGGGGTATTATTATTATTTCTCTGGATACCTTTAAGATAGTGAGTTTTTTAATTATTAATTACTAATTAATAGGTAAACTTTGTTTGTTTTTATAGTTGATGACCATCACATACCGATTCTTTGCGGTTTTACGTCAAACTGTGGAAAAGTAAAGTAATTTGTGAAGGGAATAATATTTATCTTACTGTATGGACTTAAAGCATTGTCCCTAAATAAATATTTATAAACTTTAAAGAGCAAATACTTTCAAGATAGATAACCATTAGTCTTTTGATTCAAGCTTTTCCTATACATATCTTCAAAAGAAAACGATTTCTCGGAAAGTTTAGGAAAAATAAGATTCTTTATCCTTGAGATATCAATCATTTTCTTTAGTAAAAATGAATTTATGTCTAGAAATCAAAAAGTACTGATTTATTTATTACTTTACCTAAGTATGCAGTCTGCTAAAGCAAATGAACTGGAAGAAGCCAATATGAGGATTTATTGCAATGAATATTTGCCCTACGGATTACAAACTCATATCGTTATGACCATGGAAAAACTCCCAGTTAAGTCCAGGATTACAATAACCCTCAGTACACCCAGCTATTTGGTGGCCTATTTCGAAGTTGGAAAGCTTGCAACTGAGATGCCTCCGAAGTTTAGAAGAACCTCATCAATAAGCAAAGAACTTTTTGTTTTACGGAATCAAGACTAAAATGAAAGCCGACTATGAAGAAGGATACTTTGCCCTTACAACCGCCACTTTTTGGTCTAACAGCGACAAAGTTTTAAGGCTACTCGGTCGCATAAAGTTAAAACGAATATATGAAATAAGAAAAATCATTCCCATTGAAGTAAGTCTTCCCCGGCAGTGTTCTCCACAACTGACCATACCAAGGTGCTCAGATCCTCAAACTCCCAGACAACTGCTGATCTCTCGGGGCATTACTATCAATGCTTTGTTCCTAGAAACCTGCAACCTAACATTTAGTACCATCTACAACTGGAGTTTAAGTGATCCAGTTGGGTTGAGTGAGTAGCCCCGTATACTAAATCACCTTTTCTATCCATCATTTCCACAGCACAGTTTGCATCATATAACTCAGATAATCCCTACGTTAATTTTCGACCGTATTCCTTAAGGTTTCCCAATACCTATGATCTGTGGCGGAATTTTTATGTCCTACAAGTCGAGGGAAAGTTTAATGGCTTGTATTTCGGAGCTCGGTGTTACCTTAAAGTGTTAATGGGTCAGGTGGAAGCAGTAATTCTTGGTGGAAAAAGTAGAATGGCTAATGCTAATGAAGTTCTTTGGATAAATGGCTCCCTGAGTTACGATTTTTCCAAGACGAGAAGGGATTTACAGTTTTCCAAATATAGTTGGAGTTGTAAGTCTTTTGACGACAATCTTAATCCATCCTGCCATCGCAACATATCGTCGGGTGAGATAATTTATGAAAAGCGTAATATATACCTTTATTCTATTCTCTCCCAATAGCTGCTGTCTTTTTTATTCCCGCCAAGTCTTTCAAAATTGGGTGCAGATATGTTTTCAGTTTGAAAGTGACCAGAGATGATGATCCCAATATTTCATCGCGAAAAGATCAAGTTGTTACAATGATCAGCAATAATGCCCTACAAGTAGCAATAGAATGTGAAAGAAACTGTGAAGGGGATTACTTTAATCCGAAATCGAAGGTTCACCTTACTTCAAGATGCAGCAACTGTGGAAGTCAAGCTGTGAGATACAAATGGTATATTGATGATCAGCCAATGGTTGCAATCCGTGAGTTGATATTTGATGTGCAAACAGTATCGAATGAGATTCGTGTTAGGCTTATGATTTTATCAGAAGATGGGCGATATGGTAGGACGGATAGAACCCTCATTGCGAACATAGGTCCCACTGGTGGATCATGTTCGGTTTATCCTAAGGAAGGCATCGAGGCTACCACCCCTTTTTATCCTTGTTGTAGACACTTTGTTTCTATGAACAAACCAATAGAGTTTTGGTATTATGCCGGTTCGGTACTACTCGGCAGTTGTGTTGACTGCAATTGTGAGATATATTTACCTATAACTAATGTCATAAAAGTGCTTGCATGTGATGTTCTCTGGACATGTCACACAAGTTTCATAAAGGTTAAGGTCACCGCCCTGAAAACGATTCCCAAAAATATGAATAGCCTTCCAGAGAAAGCATTCCTGCATAGGTATTTGCAAAGCATACAATCTATAGCATCGCATATAACTAGTGCGGAATCTGGAATAAATATGTTAAGAACTTTTTCGGCAATCCAACCTCAGTCTGAAAGTTCACTTGCAAGATTGGCTAACCTGACTATAACATTAGCACACCGTTTATATTCCGAAGAACAAAAAAAGGATACTTTGTTAATCAAGGTTGTTAACAGGATCAATAGTAACTTTGAGGAAATATACCAAAACGATGATGTGTCCTTTCTTACGAGGGAGCCTTTCATCGATACTCGACTAGCTTGTGGAGAGGTCTATGAAATAATGAAGAGGTTAACCCAAAGAACTTCCCGCCCACCATGGCCGATTTATAACGAGTATTACCAGGCTTTCTTAATGGGGCAAGTAAAGCAGTCCCTTATTGATAAGTTACTAGCCAAGATTCAAGCATTGGAAAATGAAGAATTCATTTATCCCTGGATTATTTGGCTGAATTCTACTTGGGAAACGGAACGTTTACATCGCCATTTAAATTATCACTCCAATGGACTTTTCCGAACAGACCTAATTGATGAAAGAAAGACGAAACAAAAGGTTTCATTGGTGATTTGGTGTGCTGAAAAGATTCCAAGGAAGCCATTCCGATTCACAACTAGCGATAATATTCATAAAGTAATGTTTACGCCAGAACTTATTCAAGAGGTTCTGAAAACGAAAAAGGCAGAGTTTGCATTAAGATCGTGTCGTTAAGGCAAAAACTTAAATGGTGGTATCCGCTTGAAAGGCAACCCAGTTCCCTTGTACTTTTTGTGCGGATTTATCGACATTACGATAATTTCACTACGCAGATACCTCTTAATTATAGTAAATTTAGCTACAGGACGAATATTTCATACTATCCTGAAAAATTCAAGGCAATTTTAATCCGTAAAGAGTCAAAGATCAAGGCCGGAATATACGCCAACTGTATGAGAGAAGGTACCCTTGCCTCCCTTCAGGAAGTACGTATGTTCCGGATAATGCTAATGGAGCATACATTGTTAGCTGTTCACTTTGTCAAAGCCACTCATAAACTTCAGATTGTTCTAAAAACAAAAAGGCCTTTGTTTCGCGAAATTTCCAAATCAAAATGCATAGTGCCCGCTGGAGTTAAACATAAAATTCTTCTCTTGCGAAATAATTGTCATAAAGCACAACGAGCTTATATTGCGTTGAGAATTTTCTCTGAACACCCCATTAAACTTAGCTCGAACATACCTATCAAAAATGGACCGGCGTCTTTTGCATTCGTTTTCCAAATTCGTAGCTGTGACACGTGGTCTTATAAAGATCCTCCAGAAGGCCAAAGGTGGTTACAATACGGATGCTACCCATCTATGGATCTCACGGTAAAACAGGGCATTCGTTGCGTTTGCAATGTTCTTGGAACATATACCAACTATTGGTATTATATTCCTGTTATTAAGGTACCAGTTTCTCCTTACGCAGAGGCACGTGCCAAACTTATAATTGCTGGCCTCTATTACGCTGCCATGATAGCTTTATTGGTATGGATAGCTTTATTATATTTATACCGAAATAAATTGCCCGCCAAGACGATTTTTATACCTAAATGTGAACTGGATGATGAATCAAACAGAGATGTACACGATATATTAATCTCATTGAGAACCAGTGGTAGATTTAATGCTGGTACCACAGCCTCCGTAACATTGGTACTCTACGGACCAGAAAATACTAAACAGAAGATTATAATTGCACAGGATCCGGAAAATATTCAGCTTAAACAGAATTCTACATATTTCATTTGGATACGTACTTGCGATATTCGTATACCGACAAAGATAATGGTCTCTCACGACAACGCTGGACGTTATCCAAATTGGTATCTGCGCCGCATCGAGGTGACCGACATGCAAACCGGTGAAACGCAGGTCTTTCTGACCGATGGATGGGTGACAAAGAATAAGGTTTTATGTGCATCAGATTTGATCTACAGGAAAGGAGAGGTGCGTTTACTAGACAATAAGTGGAATCGTTTTAAGCGTTTCTTTGAAATGTCTTGGGTCAATTGGTCACTATGGCAACCGATAAACGGAAGCTGGAGGGAATCCCCTTATTTCCCGCGCTTGACACGAGCCAAAAGATTTTCCATTTTTCTCAGCAAGTATATTGTTTTCTACACAATATGCGCTACGTACTTTGGCCCAACAACAACCGAAAGTTTGCAATTGAAACGATCCAGGGTTCTAAATTACAAAGATATCATAACTCTAGGCATTGTTTGTGGTGTAGCGGATATAATATTGCGAATAGTTTTTCAATTTGTGCACTTAAAATGGGGTTAATATGAAATAAATAAAATGAATGATAATATTTAAGCTGTCCTATACATAAGTTAAACCATGGGAACTGAACTGAGAGAGGTAAGTAATTGCTTGGCAATGAAGGTAAATAGCGGAGTTTAGTTTGATGTCAGAACATTGGCGTAACAAATTCATATATAGGGGGAGTTCCGAAGATCCACTCCCGCATCAAATCAAATGTCTTGGCCGCGATTTGCATTAATTAGCCATGAGCCAGCCTAGTGTAATCAACGACGCCCACGTGCTGCAGATCGATCCCTCTGCCATTTAAGATCTCTGTCAATTTGCATAAATCACATTAATAAGCTGAGCCCAACGCTCATCAGATACCCAGACGGATTAGCATAGCGTTAGCTAAAGGCCAGGTGGGTGATTCATAATATTATGCTATCTGCTCTAGTTCGCCGACTCACCTTCCTGGCCAAACGAACCAGTTCAGTTGGCCAATGGAGAGCAAAAGTTGGCTTTATCCTTGACCATGAAATGGGCAGCTTATACCAAGCAACCAACCAACTGGCAATACCCCAGTCCGAGCTTTAGTTTCCACCAAATTGCAGTAGCTGGGATCGCGACATGACCAGAACCACTGACATTTAACCGCAGCAACTGGTTCGCTGGTCGTCCGCTTGGTGGTGTGCAATTATTTATTTATGCCTGCATTGACATTAGCATTAGCCAGAGCAAAGTATGCCAGGCTGGACCGCAGGCCAAGCCTAAGAGTTGTCCAAAAGGCGGCTATAGCTTCTTACGCAATAGCTAAATCAATGCGGACAACCGATTAACAGAGATGCCACTCCAAAGATCGGGCTTACTGGGAGTTGTCTTTTGGCTATTAACATTTGATCTTGAGCTGAAAAGGATTTTTTTCGATTTTTTTTTAAGATTTTAAAAGCTTAAAGCAATCTTGATGTCACAGAAATATCTTGAACTTTGGCTAAAGATTTTAAGCCAAAGTTATTAGTCTGAAAAAAGTAACCCATAGATTATATACCAGCTGAAAATCGAAACCTTATTTTTAAGGTACTAAAAATCTAAAGAATTTTTCTTATTATTAATGCTACCAATATATTTTATTAATAAACTTTGATCATAAATCTAGAGCATTCTAAAATCATTAGACAACCAATCCACTTTTCCAGCACTGAAATGAGCACCATAAATCAGCAGACAAAACTTGGCACCTCAGATCGGCGCTACCGCGTGTCCATCATGCCCGTCCCCCTGCTGGGTATCAAATTGCAGACACTACTCAAAACGTCTTTAAAACAAATTACGTTGTATGCCGTAAAGAACGCGCTGCGACCTTCAAAGTGGACAGCGGGCGAGAACAGGTTGGGCAACCGGAGTATGACCATATAGCCATATAACCAGACGGCGTATAGCCAACTGACATTTGGTGGCATCGGGTTCTATAATCGCCGAAGCCATGCGTAACATTTCAAGGTTCCGCCGCCTAATAATAAGTCAAAATGGGAAATGCTGAGCCGAGAACATAAATCTTGGTAGGCAGACGACATACCATACCATAAAACCATTTACAACTAGTACAATAAATATTAAAAATTAAAACAGTCGAATGTCTTCATAATTATTGCACCTTAACCGAAAAAAAAAAGCTCGAGGGAACAATAATCAGGCATTGGCCACAGACTTTGACTTCCACCTCGACGACTTCGCCTTTAACTTGCTCAGTTCAGGCCCAAAAAAAGAGTTGAGAAAAAAAAAACTAAGTTCGGCAATAGTATATACCCATACTATATGGGGTTTCTTCTTTTTTTCTGATCTTTTTTGGTTGCCAAAGACAATAACAATACAATACGGCCACAATCTTTGGGACAATCTTGTCACGAAATTCTGTCGCCGTCTGTGTCGGAGTTAGAGCTGCAGTTAGAGGAGGATGGAGCTCGGAGGATGGGGTTTCAGGCCGATGTTGCAGACAAAGTCTGGCCCCATCTGCTGGCCCAAAGCTATTCATTAGACGCGCCTACACTTTGGCAGCGACGACAACAACTTGGCGTTTAGCAATTTCTGGCATTTTGACCCCGTGCACGGCTTCAGTTTGAGGTCTGCCCATGGGTTTTGGGCTTGGGTACTAGAGTCATTGGATACCAAGTACTGGGTACCAACTAAAGCCGCTCCGATGGCTGCCTGACTTTGATTGCGATAGTCGATTAAATGCAGCGCATTTAAATGCAATGGTTCACCCCTCCAAAATAGTTAGTTACTGGGTTTGCCCCATTTCGAGTCAGGTGGCAACGCCAGCGGCCGAGATCGGTATCTTTATTATCATTATCATTTATTTATCTGGGGCGTATCCATCGGCCGTTCTTCTTTTGTCGCTTGCTGGGGTCTACACTGAGGGGAAAAAATGATTTTACTTATTATATTGGTGTCTTAAGTAACTATTTTTAAAATTAAAAAGGCTTACAAAACCTTGGGACGTTTATAAAAAAAATCTTGAGGAATAATGTTAGAAAAACAAGAAGAGATTATTGCTAAGTTTACTTTGAACTTTACTTTTTAACAATCATTAAGGTATTGTTTATGCCCTTTTAGAACCTTTTACAGTGTTTTGGAAAACAATTTTACAAAGTAGTTGATTTTAGAATCTCTACCTCTTTGAGTTTAAGTACTTTACTGAATTCAATAAAAATCAACTTATTATTAATAAACTTATTAATTTTAATATAAAAACTAGAACAGAAATTTTAAAGTTACAAAATGTATATATGAACACACTGTCTTTATTGCAACATTTTAATTTTCCTGTTTGAGACCCAGTTAAATCTATAATGATGATCATAATAAATCAGGTCAATTTGTAACTTCTTTAGCCCTGTGTATCCATTTCCGCCGGCTGATGCAATTACCAAGCAATAGATTTAAATGTGTGTAGATGCTCTGCAAGAAAAACCTGAAACAATTGCATAAATTAAGTGTACTTAGTACAGAGTTAGTTCTTTATTTCCAGCCCAGAACAGCTGAGCCGCCGTCGCCACCGCCGCCTCTGTAGTCGCGGTCGTTTCTGCTGATCTTTGGAAACGGTGACGTCGACTGCAACGGCAACGACAACTGCAACTGCAACGGCGACTGCGACTTAGGCGTTGAATCTTTAGTTTAGTTTTTCTTATTTTCTCTTTAGCTAGGCACCTCGACAACCACCCACCCATCTCCATACCCCCAGCTATCCAAGTTGGTAGTTAGATGTTCGTTGTTGGTTTTGGCCGTACTCGTGTCGCAGCTTTGCATCTTGTCTATGTGTGTGCAACGCTTTGCCAACTGAAACTGAATTGTTTGCTGCCTCGCCAGTGCAATTTTCGTATAAATAGACTCACCTGCCGGTATTGGGCATCATTAAATAAAAACGTTCGTTCAATTAACAACTGCAGTGCGCTGAGGAATCAGTCGAAAGGATAATTTTGTCTTTTGGATTACACTTTTGAGCTTCTAACAAGATGAAGAACGTAAGTGGTGAACAGGAGTCGAAAGTGATGTAAAGTGTTAAAAAGAAAGTGTCGAAAAAGGATGGGTCTAAATGGGTTATTAAGTAAAAGTGCATAACTTGGTAGAAACTTATCAAGGTAAACTAAATCATGTGGCTTAGACTGTGAATTATAGGATACCGGCTTTTAGAGATTCCTGATGTATTCAAAACCAAAGACTAGAATTAGAAATTCTTTAAGAATTATCTTCTGCTTTAAGCCCTTGACATTTTTGGGAAAAAAGTCGTTCCACTTAAAGGTGTCAGAGATATACATCCTAAGCATTTCATCATCTTTCGTTCATATTCCCATAAAACATACAACCAGACATGGTAGGGTTGTAAAAGTACTCGTAAATCAATCGCCTAAGGTGAGCTTTTGGAAGCCTTTTTTACTACTTGAAAAAAGACCCTTTTACGCTGTTTTTTTGGGTAAATCTTCCGCAATTATCAGGCCCGCCGGCTGTAAAGGCGGGTGCAAAAACATATAGCATATTGCCAACGGGGGCAGACACGTCTTGCCATTTGAATGGCTTAAAAGCCAAAGGCAATTAACGGATTCGGATTCCGAGGCAGACAGTACGCCACGCAAAGGTCAGAGTCAGACCAATGGACCAACACCTGGCAGCTGTCCATCGGTCTGAAAAGTTCAGACACGAAATTGGAATCCCAAATGGATAATGAAACCCATTCAGTTCAGTTTAGTGTTCAGTTCAGAGACAATTGCTTAAAAGTCGAGTTTGGATGAACTCTTCAGTATAAAACGAAAGATACCTTTAATGGGACATGAGACCACGCCCCTCTATTTTTATGCTCTTTTGTGTACAAGTTAATTGAGTCACACATATACAATGTGTGTGTGTGGAAATGTGGAAAATATTTAATTGGCATCTATTTGCCGACCTCAAAAGGTGTCTAAAAAGCTCGGTATGTGAGAACGGCAAATAAAATAGCTAAGGCAATAAATCTCGTCACTCTCGGGTCCGGGGACGTTGCATAATGGCATCCATAGCATCGGGGCACGATTTCAAGATGTTTATTAACTCAGTTAACATTGCGGAACACTCCATTTCGTTTTTCCCTTCGACAGTTTGCTCTCTGTCTGCTGGTCGCCGCCTTGATGAGCTGCTGCCAGGCTGCCCCACAAAAAGCGGACGAGCCTATTGCCATCATCAGCCAGGAGTCCAACATAGAACCAGATGGTTCCTACAATTATGCGTAAGTAATTTATATTGTTATTACTATCAATTTGGGTTTAAGGAGGCATAATTGATCTTATTAGTTTCAAAAGAGCAATGCAATTTAGTGTTTCTTATGTAAGAGAGGCACCTTAATCAAACTTCGAACTGTGCTATTAACGAGAGTTATTAACCAGTCATTACAATACGTGTTAATTAGCTCATTAGCCTTAGACGTTAATTGAACTTCAACCTTTAATTTTCTCACGTCTCCGAAACTCATTGTAGTTACAGCCGGGCCTTAGAATTATCTGAGTGATATAGCTTTTAGTATTTGTTTGTCATTAACAACTATTAATTTGAAAGCCTACTTTACGGCGCTCACAATTTAACTTTTATGAACAGCACCCGAAAGTCATTCTACGCATTGTGATTAAACTGCAGATTGACTAAACTAATTCTTTAGGTTATCCCCCAACAACACTTTCCCTTAACCCATTAACAAAACCAGATATTGTATTCAATAAAGAAACTGAGAAGAATATGCTAATAAAGCTAACGAAATATGGATTAATGAACCATATTTAAATAGAAGTCTGCACAGAAATGCTAAAAGTTAAACTGTTGATTGAATATTAATTTGATTTGCCTGGCGCCAGCCATATGATGCATAAAAACAGAAAATACCCAAAAATTCAAGGTGAATTTGGTTAAACCCTCCGGAATATATGTATTTATATAATTATTTTAAATGTTGGTTACTTTCAGATATGAGACAGCCAACGGAATTAAGGCTGAGGAGACTGGAACCCTGAAGAAAGCCTCCTCCCCCGATTCCAGTGATGTGATCATCGCCAGGGGATCGGTGTCGTATACCTCGCCCGAGGGCAACCTGATTACCCTGAACTACTCCGCTGATGATGAGAACGGTTTCCAGCCTCAGGGTGATCATCTGCCCACACCACCACCAATCCCACCAGCGATCCAGAAGGCTCTGGACTACCTGCTCAGCCTTCCCCCGGCAAAGCGTCGTTAAGAAAGGACTAGGCACCTTAATTTTGACCAACGATTCTGACCAACTTCAAATGTTTAAGTAGATGCTGCGGTGTTGCTTTAAGTTGATTGCTGCATACTCCCCCAATCCCCATCCCTAGACAATCACACATAAGACACAAGCCAAGGGCTGGAGCCTCCTCCTCCTTCTCTCACTTGGGAGGATAAAGGTCGGCCAAATCCACTGACTGAAGAACACGAACTCAAACGGATTTGAGGGACAACACCACACTAAAACAACAGTCTAATTTTCTTGCTTTCTTCCAAACAAACTCTCTTCTAAGCGAATTTCTTCAGATCTTTTAGTCGCCGGAACTTTGCCATTTTCGGACTCATGTGATATCGTCGATTTATCAATGAAATCAACAAAGAAAATGTTAAAAAAAATAATAACAATGGACAAGAAATTACATAAATAATATACAGGAATATTGTTCACAGCTAACTTTGTGTAAATAGTCTGTAAATTAGAAACATTTACACGTAGTCTAAGCCAAGGTGAGGTCGTTGAGGTTTTTGGCCAACAAATGTCTGGTTTGACTCCTCGTTGCCTGGAACATTATGTAATCACTTGTAAAGAACTATGAAGATATTCTTTTAGCCTTAGCTGCAAATAAAGAATTAAAGATTCTTTCGAAAACTAAAAAGTCAAATGTTTTTAATTTTATGGTCATGAAGAAGCCTAAAACGGCGCCAAACAAATGGCCTCTAATACACCTTAATAGCCAAAGTCACAATAGTTAATATCTGGTTTTGAAGCAGCTTTGGCTATTTAAGAATTCCACTCCCACTGACACTGATAATCTGGCATATCGTATTTCCATCCGATGTTTAGAGCTTCTGTCGTGGTCATAAATCTAGATTCACAATTCCTCAAAAAAATAAAAACAGCGATGACAAACATTAAAAAAGAATTAATGAATGCACAAAACCTGTTGGCCAGATGCATACAGATGGAGGATATGGTTTACATGGGAATCATCTTAGAGCTTGACTCTGTCGTTTATTCATAGACTTTTGTCCAAAAATAAAATCAGTTTTTATTGTTCCATTCGATTTGCACTTCAAGGCAATAGGTTGATAGATTCATTTTATGCAAAGTGGCCAGACGCAGGCTGGCAAAAATGTTGTCATGTTGGTTCCAAAACGCCGAGAACCAGAATAGGAGTGATGCCGATGACTAGTGCCCATAGTAGATGGGACAACATTATTTTTATTTATTTATATTAGAATAAAACCAATAAAAAAACAAACACTAAAATAACCAATGTGGAGGCTGGCCAGATTCAAAGTTGTCTGCACCAAATTTCACACCCATTTTTGAAAGGCCAGCGACGAACGAAAACGAAACACGGCGAAACAAGTTCAATATTATTTATTGGTCACATTTTAATTTCATGTTAAATATTTTAGTACAGGAATTTTATCATGGTTTTAAGTGTTTGCTAATTTCGTTGCCTATATAAGAGTCTTTGTTTACCGCTGGGATCACCAGTCGCCTCGAGACACCAGCTTGGATTGTATTAATTGGTATCGATAGAGCGAATTAGAGATCCCGCCATGAAATTCCTATTATTGGTTGCCCTGTTTGTGGTTGCTGCTTCGGCCACGGAGAACAATGATCCCATTTCTCTGGAATCCAATGTGGAGTACAATGGCAAATACCATTATCAGTGAGTTTACTGTATGGTTAATATACTACAGAGGCTAATCAAAAACTAATTACCTAGTTATGAGCTTAAGGATGGCTCTAAGGCCACACAGGATGGAGTTCTGAAGTCCGTGAATGCCGAGCACAATGGTGAGGCGGTCAATGGCAAGTACTCCTTCGTTGGTGACGATGGCAAGACCTATGTGGTGTCCTACACTGCTGATGAGAATGGATTCCAAGCAGTCGGTGATCATTTGCCCACACCACCACCCACCCCTGAGTCCGTGCTGAAGGCTCTAGAATACATCCGGCTGCATCCCTACAAGACGCCCGAGAAGAAGAACTAAACATCCCGCAAGAACTAAGCCAGAATGTGATTGAAAACAAAAGAACTGAGACAAATTAAAAAGATATTTACAAAAAACGAGAATAACAAAGATTGAGTAACCGGAAACAAAAGAGTACAAATATTTCAGATCACTGTTGATTTAGGGCTAGAGAGCTGAGCTGAGCTGAGCTGAGCTGAGCTTTGCTGAGATTCCACTACGTCGTGTGTGCCAAAATGTGTGTTAAATTTGCCTTACTTAGCAGTTTTTGGCTCTGCTGACCATCCCGCTAAACAATTACTAATTGAAAGCTAAATTGTTAAATAAGCAATTGAAGCCCAAGCAGAGTGGCAAAAGTCTCAAGGCCGTATCCGCAATCAGTTTTTAAGTGAGATTGAGCAGCAGGCACTAGAACTCCGAACTTTGACTAAACACAATCAATGGGAATTATGTAAGCCAAACAGAAACCGAAAGTGTGATTCGATTTTTTTGTTTCTCTCGTTTTTAATTTACAATAATATGTTAATTCTAAAATCAAACATATCGAGAACATTAGCGATTCCGGGAAGAAAAGAGTGAAGAACATTTCTTTTACCAGCTGAAACTTAATCAGATATGTATCACAGGTGATTTAGAATTTTTGTCGCTTGGCTCTTTTGTTTCTGGCCAAAAAAAAATTTGAAGTTCATTGACCATTCCGTTCCCGCAATAGTCTAGGCTCTATGACACAATTGTGGTTAATATTCGCAGCATATAGCCATCATATGGGCATATGTAAGTTCGCAGTGTTATCAATTCGATTTATGGCCAACAATACTCTACATTTTTTATGGCCTGTTTGTCTCCACCGTTCACCGTTAGCTTTTCGGCCAGCAAATATTTCCCTAATTGAAACGTGATGGGAATGTCCAACAAAAGAAGCTTCGATATGACTTATTAAAATATTTGAAAACTTCTGGAAGAAGTCGCTGAAATGTCAGCACTCCCTCAACTCAAATCCTTAACGGATTCCCCAGGAACTGGCTGAGGAATCAACGGAACTAACTGGCTGAGCCGACTCCCACAAGAATTATATATATTCTGCTCAGACAAATCACGTAGCCTGTCAAGATCTGCGATATGTGACGAGATGGTGAAGGGGAGGGCAGATGAAGACCCGCTGTCACCTGCTGACATCGTCGCTCCATCTTCATCTCTTTTGGCGGTGTGATCTGATGTTTACTCATCGCTGGGCAATAAAACCGAAACCGAAATCCAAAATCCCAAAAAAAAAAAAGCCCGGGCAACAAGAAAAAGAAGCAGCAGCGCCCGCTCGTAATTTCTGCGAGTACTTCGAAGCTTATCTAGTGCGCCCATCGTAATGGCAAATCGTAAGCAGCCGAAGTCACGGACCAGAGTATAAAAAGCCCGGCTTTCGTTTGGGTAGTCAACAGTCGCTCGCTGGATACCGCCCACACTTAAGACTTAGTTAAAGGATATACCTATACTCCCCTTCCAACATGTACAAGTTCATCTTCCTTGTCTGCTCTGCCATGCTGCTCAGCTATGTCCTGGCCAGACCCCAGGATCAGCGGGCAGGAGCTGCTAGTGCCTCAACCACAACCACACCTGCCACCATTGTAAAGCAGGATAATGTGAACAATGCCGATGGAAGCTTCAACAGCAGGTGAGTTATAAAAATATAGAACCTGAATAGCTATAACTCTATTTATTATCCCCACCCTTTATAGCTACGAGACCTCGAACGGAATACGCGTGGAGAACATTGGCTACCTGAAGAAGATTATCGTTCCCAAGACCGAGACCTCCGATGGCCAGGTGATCGATGAGCACGAGGAGTTGGTGCTGGTTCAAACTGGATCCTACAGCTACAGCGATCCCGATGGCAACATCATCACCCTGCGCTATGTGGCCGATGAGAATGGTTTCCAGCCCGAGGGTGACCATCTGCCCGTGGCCCCGCAATAGTTTTATCTTAATTCCATAGCCCTAAATAATATTTCGCTTGAAAGTATTATGCACTGCCTGAATGCCATACGAAATTGAAATGTCTACATTCCGTAGTTAGTTTTAAGTAAAAACATACACAAGACACACACACCGATCAAACTGCCTGCAAAAAGAGAGAAATAAATATTGGAAACGATAATGAAAACGACAACTGAAGTGAAGTTGCTTCTCAGCCTCGCATGGCCTATAACATTACATTACCAAATTGCCCTTCACGCTTGCGGTTAACACTGATGATGATAGCAAAGTGGTGATGAGATGAGATGAGATGGGATGGTCATGAGCCAACTAAGCCAGATTTGTTTACACTGATGGCGCTCTGTTGGTAAAAGCCCTCAACACCAAACGACATTGATGCTGATATGGATACCGGCTAGGAATTTGGTATCAAGTGTGTGTTTGACCAACCCAATGGGGCATACCAGAATGGCTGCGTAGACGAGGGACGTTTAATTACTCTATAATGTGAATGATTAAATAGTCATTAGGTGTGTGTATTATGCCACTTCATCAGTGATCAGTAATGTGGGCCAATCGTGGGATCAGTTGATCGACCATTGTGCCACCGGAATGAAGCCATTTCTCTGGTGTTTCGGCATCATAATAAGCAGTCTGCTGCAAATACCTCCTATAGATACAGCCAAGTTGATTCCAGTAAGTCTACCGAAACATTGAGAAGGTTTGAATATTTTACTTTTCCTTTCCTAAGAACCTGGGCTACTATGTGGAGATGCACCAAATGGATTGTGTTGGGGATTCCAACTATTTTGCTGATCTATATTGCAAGATCCTGACCCCTAAAAATAGGACCATGGAGGCATCTGTAAATATTATGCATAAGTTGACTGCGTTTAGTGGTTCGCTTAGGGTATCGATTCCAAATGCCAAAAAGGTCATAACCCAGATATTCGATATCACCTTCGATGTGTGCAAGGTTTTGCGTGAACGCAAGCGGAAGGTATTGATTGACCTTCTGGTTAACACTTTGGCCAGGAACAGCAACGCTATGGCCTGGAGATGTCCCTTTCCAAAGGTAGACAATGTGCTTAATTTAAAAATTAAAAATTATGAATATTTTTGGCCTCATTGCAGGGTAAATTCGAGTCTAAAAACATTTCGGTTACCGATTTACCGCCCATGCTAACCGAATCGGAATTTTTTGTAAACTTGGACTTCTTTATACCAAAGGTGGCCCATGCAATGAATATCACTCTACACGGACATCTTTATGAGCTTGCAAAAGAAAAGGCCAGAAGGAAGAAGTTCTTGTAATGATTTTATTGTAAAATTTCCTTAAGTGAACATATTTTAATACAAAATATATATCCATATTTTATAACTCTGAACTTAAGTATAGTTTAATAAACATGTTTATGGAAACCTTTAAAACACTTTTTTTTTACTTTTGACATACCAAATATACATTTACATGAATTTACAATTAAATTGTTGCATACTTTGAGGCAGTTATCTTTTTGCATATAATGGGGAATGGAAAATCATAGGATTTGAACTTAGAAACAAAAATATTTATTTATATAGATAGTTAAGTTTTACCATAGTTTGGCCACTCTACATTCAAACACATTTTTACGCCCAATTGGCTATTCAAATGATAGAAATATACAATTATGTTATGGATTAGTAATTACCCTAATAATTTCAATACAATTTCAATCAGTGAATCACCTCATTTAGTTTTCCATCGTCTGATCGGCAGTAATGTTCTACCTGTGGATGAGCTACCTACGGATGACTTTTTTACTCATCCATTTGATTCATTACAATGAAGCCAAGGTGAACTATTAGTTTTAAATAAAGTATTTTCTTAATTATCCAATATACTTACAGAGGCGAATACGATGGGATTGCTTTGATTGCCAGATGGGACCTAAATATGGGGATCAGATGAAGTGCACGATTGGAGGCATTAGACGCTCCCTATTGAACGTGGAGCTTCAATTGCTAGCAGAACTCAACAATATCAAGGCATATGTGAAGATCTCGACCAGATTTAAGACAACTAATTTGTTTAGGAAGTTTTTTGACATTACCTTCGATGGATGCCGCGTCATAGCCGATATGGTTTCAGGAACTATGGTATCGAATATGTTTAATGCAGTCGTCAAGTCGAGCAATCAACCTCGAAAGTGCCCCGTAAAAGAGGTTAATTTATGGTTTTTATATTTTATATTTGTTTTAAATCTAATATCAGGGATATTACAGGGATTGATTTACTACCATAATATAAGTATTGAAGACGCCCTGCCTATGTTTGTGCCCACCGCCCAGCTTTTTATCCAAGTGGATTTCTACTCCCGCAGGCAGCTGTACTTGAACGTTAGTCTATTGGGAGAAATAATTGAATAATAAATACATAAACACAAAATTTAAAATATTTTATTTTTAGTAGAGTACTTTAATGGACTGACTGCATTTAGAGCCCATAAACAAAGACATTATCGCCACAATTTGAACTGTGAGCTCAATTTGTATAGAAGCCCACTTAAAATGTGATCACAAAAAATATCAATTATTGGGGTATAATTATGAAAACCATTATCCACGACTGATTTCACTTATAGAACGCATTTTGGCTTTTAAACCAGACAGTAGTAATTTTCCGCAGCTACAATTACAACATCATGGCTCAGTTTTATTTGATATTTTTGCTGATTTTCATGGCTAGCCAAAGCGAGTCAGCAAAGGTTTGCATATCTACGAGTATATTGTTCAGATTGAGACTAATTCTAATTAAATTTTGTGTAGACTTTTACCAAGGCACGCCTACAAATGATGTGGAGAAGTTTCGACTGCTACCCAAATGCGGAGTACATTTCCCATCATAAGTGTACTATTCTGGAGCCAGGGAAATCTCTGATCACCGCCGAACTGAACTACATTAAGGACATTATGAAATTCAATGCCACCTTTAAGCTGTTCATGCCTCGAAGGCCTTCTCGACCATTTCAGAAAGTTATTGATGTGAACGTGGATATATGCCAGTTTGTCAAGGGAATTCATGGCCATCGCTTCATGACCATTGTGGTAAAAGCTTTTGGCAAGCAAGGATCTCAGCTGAAGTGTCCTCATCCCAAGGTAATGCAGCTTATAGTTTTGGAAACTTCTTTGATACTCTTATGTTCTAGGGTCTTTACATATACCCCAACATAAACATTGCTGAAAATTTACCTGCTTTCTTGCCGGAGACCGATTTTAAAATCGAGATGAATTTCCTAACTCCCGAAGCGCACGTCTTTAATACTAGCCTCACCGGATTCTTGTTCGATCCGATTAAAAAGAAGGCAAAGACTTTTTAATTTACGAAAATGTAATCAAATGTGCATTAAAAGCGGCTACCAGATGGAATCCAAGGATTAAATCGAGATGGAAAGAGTCGTTATGGCAATTTGGAGCACTTAAGAATTAATCAAGAACTTTATGGCCAGGCCACTTGTCTGCCCAGCGGTACGTGATCTTTATGTCAAGTTCCGTTGACGATTGCCTCAAAATCGCCACTAGAGCATTATTTACGAGTCAAGCTCAAGATTGGCCGGCATCGACAAGGCATTTCATTTCACAACCGACACGGCAGCAGAAACAACAACAAAGCAGCAGCCTGAATATTTATGGCCAGCAATGGGGTTCTGTGAGCCAAGTTGGCTCTCAGCGATAAAGCCGAAATGTCAAATGTTGTTCATAAGAACGACAAATGCTAAGAATGTAAGGGTGAAATCGTTTGACATTTGCAGATGCTGCAATTTCCCTGTGCCAGCAGCAACGGGTCAGTGTGTGAGTGGGGCAAAATTGCTAATGGGATGGTGGTTTGTCGGATGTTGGATTGTTGGATTGGTGGTGGTGCACTCGAAAGCTAACCTTGCCCAGCTTTCGTTTTTTTTCTTTTATTTTCATTTTCGCCTGTGCGTGGAACTGCATCTCAAAAAGTTGCACAACCTGCAATGAATCACCATCAAAAGTAGCAACAGCAACAGCAACAGGCACAGCAGCAACATCAGCAGACACGGCAGCAACATTGGCAATCTGGAGGCTTGGCGGGCGTTCGACTTGGAGTTGTGGGTGCGGAAGACGTGGAAGACGTGGCCAAAAACATGATGGCCCAGAGGGAGGAGAAGTTGTTTGTCGCAATAGGCGTTGGAGTTTGGCAGCATTTGGGGCTCTTTTTTTCGCCGGCTCTTCGGCGGTTGTTCAACTCGAGGCAGTGCCTCTTGCAAGTTGTTTGTCCTCTCTGATTGAATTTGCCATTTTTCCCCTGCAACGACAACAACTGATTTGTTTGTTTTGTTCTCTTTTGGCCCAAAACGCGTTGCAGATTAACCCAATTGTTTGGCAACTAATTAACATTTGCCAAGACACGGGCCCGCTTTGAACTCAATTATCGTCTTGCCTCATCTGCCGGGCACTTTGGCTGTTACAACAATTCGCGCTTCGCTGGTGTTGGTATTGGATCCGCCAAACTGCCGCAATTACAAGAATGTGAATCCGAATCTGAGTCCGAGTGCGAATCTGAAAATGAATCCGAAACCGAAGCTGTGAGGGAGCAGCATCTTGGATGCACTCCAAATGCACTTCTGCCGGGCGAGAGAAACAGATAGAGAGCCAACACGAGCTGTGCAGACTGGCGCTTTTGGCCAAGTCAACAACGAAAGCAAAAAAAAAACTCGTTCTGGCTTGTTTCTAAATAACGGCATTACGAAGATGAACGACCGGACGCGCTGGTGGAGGACGGACGTTTCGCAGACATTTGAGCCGGGCCTACGAGCAGGCCAAATACGAACAGCGACAATAAGCCGGGTTAAGGTGGGTGCCAGTGATGGAGGGTTTTAGAAAATAGACCAGAACTAAATAGTAATTAAATAATTTTCGATAAAAATAATAAAATATCTTTGAAAACAAAAGACTTAGGAAACGAACTTGGTGTAAAAAATTTTTGAGTTTGAGTTTTCATATTAATAATAAGAACTATAAATTGAATTCTATAATTAAAGAAGAAGATATTTAAGATATGTGCTTGTATAATATATATTTTATAATATTCCAATACCCTAGGTTCTACTAAAGGAACATTAATAGTATAGTCAATGATCTCCCCTTAACTAAGCCCCTGGAACAGCCTCAAATGAGAGCGACAGTGAATTGCTTTTTTTTTTTCTATTTTAGCATTTAAGCGTCGACGAGCCTACAAACAACAATTACCGATCGGTCGGATCAGACGTATATAACAAAAACAAGAGCTACTATGGCGAATTCCACTTCCATCCCCATTCCCATCTTCACCTGCATCTCCATCGCCATCTCCAACGCCATCACCGACTCCATCTCCATCTGCATCCGAAACTGAAACAGAAACTGCAAATGCACGCTCTCCAATGGTGGCTCACCTGTGTGTGGGTATGGACACGAGTGCAGCAGGAGGATCGGATCGGGTCTGAGCGAATCGCCTATATAAGGCCTAAATAGGGCCGCGCTTGGCACAGTGTCTAACGGAGCTGCTTTCACTAGCCAGTGCGATCAGTGCCAGCCAAACGGGCGACAAAGCGGGCCAAATCAGTGGAATACAGTGGATAAGCAGCAGTGACTCCTTGCGAAATGAAAGTGCTCGTAAGTGGTCAAGTCAATCATTTTACCCGACCTATTGGATTTTCAAAATTGGAGTGAAGAATTATTAGCAGGCCAAAAGCTGAGAGAAATATTTCAACGGAATAGTGCAACATCTCCTGATTAAAAGATTGCAAGGATAAATATTCCTCGAATATAAATTTTTAGTTCCGTTTGTGGCTTTATTTTGATTTTGTTTTTAAAAATATTTAGTGTGTTGATTTTTTAAAGAGACTTTTGGATTAAAAATCTAATTTCCAATAAAAAAATATATGTTAAAAGAAGTTTTTATAAATCTTTAACTTGTAATACAATTTTTAAATGATGTGTACAATTTTGTAGAAAGTTCTTTCGAAGTAAACTTTTGTTTTTGTTTCTTGAAACTATAAAATCGTTTTAACCCTATTAAGGAGGGATGTTATATTAGTATCCATTTATTTATAAGCTTAACCCGCACTTATCCCTTCCAGATACTTCTTGTGCTGTTGGTCATCTCCTGCCAAGGACAGCACCATCATCCGCACCAGCATCCCAATGTGAATAATATACCACGCGACGACAAACCAGATCATCATCGTCATGAAGATCACCGAGAGACCAGCACCTGGATACCCATAATCAAGTACAACAAGGAGCAGAGCGAGGATGGAAGCTACAAGACGGAATACGAGACCGGAAATAGCATCGTTCACGAGGAGACCGGCTTCCTTAAGGACTTCGACACAAATCCGAATGGTGTCTTGGTCCAGCATGGCCAGTATTCTTACCAGTCTCCCGAGGGAACTCTAGTTAATGTACAGTACACAGCTGACGAGAATGGATTTAGGGCAACGGGCGATCATATTCCCACACCACCGGCCATTCCCGAGGAGATCCAGAAGGGACTTGACCAGATCTATGCCGGCATTAAGTTGCAGCAGGAGCGCCTAGAGCAGCGGGCCAAGACGGATCCGGACTTTGCCAGGAAACTGGAGGAGCGACGAGTGGCCAATCAGAATGGCCAGTACATCGGCCTGCTGGAGAACCAATAGACAAGCTCGGCCCATCCCATTCCCCCCACCGAACCGATGATCCTGGAAACGTGACTCCTTCGCATTCTATATCAACATCAACAAGACTGTGATTTCACTCTGCAAGTTCTTCCAAATTTCTGTACCACTCTGATTGATTAACATTTAATGACTCTCTTTTAATTTCAAACTAAGTTCCAAAAAAAAAAGAAGCACAGGGGCGCTCAATCAAAATAATAATGATATTTTATTAACGAGTGTGAAAGTTTCACTGCCTTGAAACAATAAAAGAAAAACTAACGTTTCCATTATGCTGAACCGACTTGTTGATGGATTTACCATAATTTCTATTTTATTTTTCAGTATGTTTTTTTTCCGTTTTCCGTTTTACAGCTGACCATATCCACGATGTTCAGACAGACGTGACAAAGCGTTTATGGGTCCTCATTATTTTCTCGTAGTGTTTCACCATTTACCGTGCATCTTTGGTTGCTTTATTGTTTACTTCGCAGATCGAATTACCCCATCGTACGTCAGTTTGTTGATCCCATTCCATGCAGGTTGGGTTTTTCCAATTTTCCATATTTCTACATCGCCACCATGGAAATTTTCTTTTGCGAGGAGTCTCTCGACTGGTTGCTAGTTGCATAATTACGACAGATTTGCCAGTGCCATTCAAGTTGTTACCAAGGAGAGGTTGTCGGCGGAGGGTTTACCAGCCAGCCGGTTGAAGTGGTCCGTGAATGGGTTACTAGCGTAGCCTCGATTCCCGCCGAGTTACCTCGATACCTCTTCATTCTGCCAATTATTTCATAAGATACCGTTTCGCATTTTGTATAGATTTAGCCCTTAGCTACGTAAATATATAGAAACCAGTTGAACTCAAAAGTCTGTCATCAAGCTGAAAGAACAAACAACCGAAATACCTTTTGGGCCAAAAAACGGCAAACGATTTGGCCACCACCACTTATTTGCATAAAACGTAAACACACATTTAGTCGTATATACTATATAGTTAAGTCTGTCTAAAGATAAATCAATTCCGCTGCATTTTCACCAACCGCAGAAGGAAGACCCCAAAAGCATAGCCCCCAAAGAATGTTTATTCGCCATTAAGTTTCAACGCTCTTGCGCATAATTAAGACGAAAAACGAAGAAAAAAGAGCCATATAATAACGAAGCCGAACAAAGGAAAATTTCTATGGCCCGTGATTAGAAAGAATCTTTCTTGTGGGCCTGTGCGGCCGTTGGAATTGATTTGGCCAAGTCAGTTGCCGTTTAGAAGCCGTCGCGTGCAGATCACAAATCGCCAGCAAACCAAGGGGGCAGAAGTACTTCGTTCGACCAAAAGATCTTTGAAAGCTAGAAAACAAATTCGCGGGAGCGTTAAACTGGTAGCGGTAGTACGGAAAAAGTGTGTGTGAGTGTTGGGAATGAAAAGAAATGGGCAAGTGGAGAGGTTGATCGGCAGAAAAGTGAAGATGTGAAGAGCTTTAGATGAAGAACAACAACAAGTGCATGTGAATATTGAATTGACATCGAAGCTCCGTTAAAGAAAAAATAGCAAAAAGCAAAAAAAAAAAAAGCAAACAAACAATAGATTGTTATTGTGGCTGCTGTTGAAAACGAGAATGAATCAATAAAATCTTCGAAAACTAACGGTAAACTTGAAAAGTGGCACAGCATCTGCCAAAAACAAAAGCAACAACAAAGTAAAGTACCAAAATAGAAAGAGATATTTAGCATAATTTAAATATGGTTAGTCATCGGAAAGAGTGTCTACTGTGGTTGCTGATCGCCTTCAGTGGTTGTCAGCTAATTGCAACACAGCAACTCCAGGGTCCTCCTCGTCCCAGGGGGCGTATACGTATTGCGGATATGCAAATTCCCGCCTCTGCCGCTGGGGCACCTGATCTGGCCCTGGGAAGTTGGCCAAGTTTGCCAGCTGCTGGTCCCATCAGCTCTACTGTTCACAGTCACATCCCGCTGTTACGCGAAGAGAGTGCCCCGCTGCCCCCAGCCACGCCCAGTCAGGAGACGGTGGTGTACGGCAATTGGAAGCCAGAGCATCCGAAAAAGCCAGATGAGGTGGAAGCAGAAAGCGAGTCAGATCAGCAGCCCAGGGAACGGGTCTACGGAAGACTGGAGGCCATGCTCATGGGAATGCCGGCAGATGGTAATTTTTTATTGAAAACTTAATAAAACAAAGAAAGGTGTTATATATATCAATAAACTTAAATGACATTTAAAATAGTTAAACTTTTAGTTTCCAAGATGTTTTTTTAGTACTATTATCTAAGGTTGCCTAATTGTTAAATATATAATATGATTATTTAAAATTTCCTATCAAGAATTTGTGAACAAAAGTTAATGTAAAAAATCTTTCTATTCCCCAGCAATCGATTCCAAGCCATCAAGTTCCAGTGAAGAGCAGATCGCTCCCATTGCACCTGGCGGCTATCAGAATCCAACCTTTTTACGAACGGCCAGCATTGAGAGATCCCCAGAGAAGCAAGGTCGCCGAAGAATCACCACCAAGCAGGAACCCCATCAATTCGAGACTGTTGGGGTCAACAATACGGATTTCATTCCTAAAGCCGTTGCCAAGCAGATCAGCGAGTCCGTAGAGTCCACAACGACGGACAATCGAAGAAATTCGCATCATTCCGCCGATGACAACTGGATGCCCCTGCCGTATCCGTATCCTTATGACACCACAGTGCCAGCACCACCAGCAACGAGCTCTATGATTCCAGGATTTATGCAATCCTCCGTGGTGCATTCACCGGCACCCACACAGGCCACACGATCCACTGCCGGACTACTAAACTGGCCCACTGATTTCATCGATACTTCCTCAAACACGGCGAGCACCGAACGGATAGGTAGTAATCTCCAGGACAATATTGACAGGCGCGATGAAAGCGTCTCTGATCCTGCCGATGAATACAAGTACTATGAGGACTCTCTGAACTCCGCCCAGATGCACAGCGAGTTGAGTGTGCCGGAAACGATGCCTCTGAATATAACACGAGTGGGCATCCCTTACGAAGATCGAAATGCTTCCGAGGAGCCGACCATATGTGTACCACTGACCGTCTCAGAAACATCCCTCTCCTCCGATAGCATTGTGCCGCAATTAGTGGAAATCGAAAGGGTGTACTGTTTCCCACTTCCCAAGGTGGAGATCCGTCCAGGTCATGTCCGCCCGCAGGTGGAACAGGTGACCAGGGAGCAGGAGATCTCCGAAACGGACATGGATATGCAACCTACGGAGTCGCCAATGCCTAGTGATTCCACTTCGGGAGCAGCACGAAGATCACTTGGCTTCCTCACACTGCTCCTCATCACTGGATGGAGCTTCAGGCCAGGAATTAGAATTTAGAATTACGACCACTTGACCTTTAAACAACTCAGGGGCTATTTGCTAACTACATTTATTTAATTTACTAAATCTAAGCAAAAATATATAAAGTTAAAGTATGTTGTTGATGTTATTTGAATGGCAATAGACGAGAAAGACAAGTAAGTAAGTACTTTAAATCATACCATGGTACGTAGGTTTGTTATTACGAAAAACGGAACAAAGCTTACTCATTCATAGCCTGGAGCACAGCTAGCATTAAGGGTGCTTTATTGGAGGTATAGAACTTTAGATTTCAATAAAACAACGATGAATTATTCGATTGACATGAAAGAAACGATTCGAAAGATAATCTTGTGGCATTACATTACATGATTTCTGGCATATGACCGCCACGGCTGCATCGGATGTAGTCCAATCTGGACGTCCAACGCCGATGACTTTTACCAACATTTGTGGCCGTATATCGGCAATACCGAATAGACCAATGACTTTACATAGCCCCACAGAATAATATCAATAAGAGTAAACGTGGTGCAATAACGTTCCATGGTTAATCGTTCTGATGGTCAACTGCTCTGATGGCCGATTTGACGACGATAAAATGGACGTAGTGCGCGATACGTATTCCGCACAAACGATTATGTTCGAAATAAAATTTCACTATTTGCAAGCGTTGTTTAGGCGTGAGTCTATTCTGATGAATTGCCAAACCAAACAGAGAATAAATCACTTGACAGCTGTTAAATCGGTTGCCATCTTGAGCAGTAATGCCAACTTAAAGTTCTATACCTCTGAAAAAAAAATACCTTTATTTAGCAATCTAAAATTCTTTAATATCAAAATGTTACCTATTTTGACCCAACAAGGAAAAATCTTATCATTATTTTAATAATAATAATTTTATAGTTTAATAAATATGTGTACACATTAGATTGCGATAAGCCTGTCTAAGTCTGTCAATCATAACTCAGAACTGATTATTACCTAATTGTTGACATTGAAAGTTCCAAGTTTTCTTATCTGTACAACTTTCTGATTAATAATTTCATTCATTAACAAATACTATTAGCTATAAAATTATAAGAGTTTGTCACTCGGGTGTGTGTTGACCCAAATAAAGGGAAATACCAAATAATGAGATTATGTAAAGTTAAAAAAAAATGAAATTTAATTTAACTACACTAATAAAATATTATTTTCCAGCGTCTTTCTTCGCAACGAACTCCTCTCGTGCCAGCCGTCGTAATGTCTTTCCATTTGGATTAGCTGGCAGCTTGTCGGTAAACTGAACCCCAGCGTGAAGTTGCTTCTGAATCGAAGGAAGTCTCTTGGCCACATGATCTGCTATTTCCTTAGGAGTAATTGCGGTTCCTTGTCTCTTGACCACCAGGGCACCCGCAGCATCACCTTGTTGCTCATTATAGATGCTTATCACACACACTTCGTCCACTTCGGGTAGCTCTGAGATAACACCTTCGATTTCTGACGGACAGTAATGATTTCCCTGGTACTTGAAAATCTCTTTCTTTCGATCCACCACATATAGCAGATTCGTGTCATCAAAATAACCCAGATCGCCGGTATGCACCCATCCTTTATCGTCCTGGGTTCGTCGAGTCTCAATGGGATTTCCATAGTATCCTTTCCAGGGAAGACCTGTATGGACATAGATCTCTCCCGTCTTATTGTAACCCAGATTCTTGCCAGCTTCATCCACAATTCGAATTCTTATGCCTGTCAGTGGCTTTCCAGCTGCGTTGGCGTTATCGAGCCCAAAATTAAAGGCTACTCCACCGACTTCGGTCATTCCATAACCTGAGCACAGCATTGCATCCGGGCAGAGCTCCTGCATTTTCTTCATTGTGGTCATAGATGTAAAACCACCTCCGTAGTTTATGGTAGAGATAGAGGCCAAAGCTTCCTTTGTGGCTCCCGGATATGCGGTCAATGCAGACATATGACGAGGGGGCAGAATTACAAAGTTGATCTTATACTTCTTGACAAGTTCTACGAAATAGTCTGGTGCGAATGGCTTGTTGGTAATAATGCGGGTGCTACCAATGACAGTGCTCAAGAGAAAGGAGGTCAGACCACTATACCAGTCCAGACCACTTGCGGAAAATGTGACTAATTCGCTGTTCATTATACTGTGTGTGAGGATACAATTAGGAATCTGAAAAAGAAAATTGTACTTTTTATGGCTTACAAGTACTCCAAGAAAAGTGTTTGGTTGGATATGCAAACGGCTTTGGGCAAGCCTGTTGTCCCGGATGAGCACAAAATGGCCATGGTCTGTTCACCCCCTTCCTTCAAAAGTTCTGGCCTAAAAGAAAGTTTCATTACTAACATTTTTATAATATAAACTCCTCGTACTCACTGGTACAATATTTCTGTACTTGTAGGCGCCAGAAGAGTATCAATATGAGGGACTCCTTCAATGGGGTCAACGACTGTAAAGATCTCTGGCTGCCATGCTTTCGTCGCTGCACGAACTTTCTCAACATCCTGTCCCTCGCAAAATAGAACAGTTGGTTTGGTTATCGACAAAATGTGAGTCAGCGTAACTAAAATCAAATATATTAATATATTTGTATAATAAGAACTTCTGATTACCAACCTTCGTCAGACACCGGATTCACCGCATGAAAGGGAGTTCCATTCAACAGACAAGCTACTGCCACAGGAGTTACATAGGTGGAGTTTCTGGCCGTAATGCCAATCACGTCCGGATACTTGAGTCCCTTACTCTTAAAGATCTGGGCTATACGTATAGCCCAAGTTATGCCTTGGCCAAAGGTCAATTCCACGCCATCCACATCGTTTATCTAGATATAAAATTTAGATGATTATGCGATCTTTTGTGATGTAACCAGATCAGACTCACCTGACAGACGTTGTTTGGCCAGTTCCTCATTACGTTGCATATTATCTTGCCAATAGACGTCTCTTCGGTGTATGTAGGAACCCGTTTGGCTCCACTCCAGATCCGATTCTGCGCATCGTAAGTTGTGGGGAATCCTTCCATTATACTGCTACACTTTTCTCGACGTCTCTCCTTTGGAATCACAGACAATACTATCGCTTTTGGCCAAGTAGGAAACTTTATATAGTTAGCTGGAGCTTTACAAAAATTGCCAGTAATAAATGACCTGCATCAATTGTGCAAGCTGGTAGACAACGTGGCTTATCTTATCGAAAAAAACGGTTACATTCTATTTGGAGACGGATTCAAGAGGCGAACAATTATTAACTCTAAAACAATAAACTTATTATACCCGTTACTCGTAGAGTAAAAGGGTATACTAGATTCGTTGAAAAGTATGTAACAGATAGAAGGAAGCTTTTGCGACCCTATAAAGTATATATATTCTTGATCAGGATCAATAGCGAAGTCGATTGAGCCATGTCCGTCTGTCCGTCCGTCCGTCCGTCCGTCCGTCCGTCCGTCCGTCCGTCCGTCCGTCCGACCGTCCGTCCGTCCGTCCGTCCGTCCGTCCGTCCGTATGAACGCTGAGATCTCAGGAACTATAGCAGATACAAAGCTGAGATTAAGCATGAAGATTCTTGAGGTCCCGGGACAGCGCAAGTTTATTACAGCATCCTGCCACGCCCACTCTAACGCCCACAAATCGCAAAAAACTAAAATTGCTGAAATCTCAGGAACTATTGCAGATAGAAAGTTGAAATTCAGAAAGTATAATCTTTAGATGACAGCGCATCTTATACTGCTACTACTATCCGGCCACACCCACCCATACGCCCACAAGGCTCAAAAGACGGTTTTCGGATTTTCTAGAAAAGCTGATATCTCGGTAACTAAAAGAGATAGAAAGTTCGGATTAAGCATGTAGGTTTCTATTATGCTCCCAATGCGAATTGTTTTTTTCCGATCACGCCACGCCCACTCTAACGCCCACAAAACCCGAAAAACCAAAAATGCAAAAATCTCAAAAACTATAAAAGCTACACAATTTTGCTTAGGAACACGTATTTAGGAGATGCCTCTGCATCTTGCCACGAAGTTGCATCCAGCCACGCCCACTCTAACGCCCACAAACCGCGGAAAACTGTTAAGTCTATAATATTATTATGAATGCCTTCGTTTGACCTTGTGTAACTTATTTCTGTTAATATCTATCGATTTACAAAAGATTTTTCAAATCGGAACATTATTTCGCTATTTATGAAGAAATTAAGGTTATAAGGCCTCACATGGGCAGTGACGTCACAATAAGGATACTCAACATACTTCCTCTGACAATAGGTGGCGCCTTGTGAATTTCCACTAGCAAAATTAATATTTTAAAATTGTGTAAAACAGTAACGGGTATCTTATAGTCGCGGCACTCGACTATAGCGTTTCCTCTTGTTTTTACATATTATTAATGAACATTTTTAAACATTTCTTGCGATAACTAACTTCTGATAAGAGCAAGAAACGTAATAATTCTCATTCAGCAACATTTTATATCTTATCAATCTTATTAAAAGCATATTAAAGAAAACTAAACCTAATCTAAAAAGCCAGATATCGTCCGATTTCTTTTAAAAGTCTAAAGTTGTATACCCGCAATCTTCTAATTTGTCTGAAGGGCCTTAAACGATTGGCTATCTTAAAATTTTAGAAACCATTATGATAAGAAAACCATTTATTAAATGGCACGAGTTTACTATCATTTTATGACTAATATTTAAATCATATCTAACCCTCTTTTTTTATTCTCAATGTTTGTGTCGTGAAAAATGACGAAGTCGAAAGTTCATAAAGCAACTTTATCTTTATCATGACTATTAAATACCCTAAGAAATCAAGGAACAGCACTTCTTTATCTCAAGTGGCTTTACAGATAAACATTATTACAAAATTAAAAATGATTATCTATATTTTGTATACCTGCATTTATGTCCACTATTAAGTCTAAGATACATTTTACATAAGATACCTATTATATTTAACAAATAAATAAATATTTAAGTCACGTTTGAATCGCAGATATTTAAATATAAGTCTCATGGTTAGTCAGTAGTTTTCTGTATCTTATCAATCCCAGAAACTATACGAAATCGAAGGCGGTTATTGGGCGGTTATCTTTGTGTTTGGTGTTTATTTTCAATGAGACTTTGAGGATTCTGATATTCGGAGACTGTGCTGATTACACTGGTCTACAAAAATTAAACATTCTTTGGGGTCATGACTAAGTGGCACAGGTTCTTATGAATGATGTGGCCAAAAAATAAACAGCGTGAAATACGTTTTCCATAACAAACTAAGAGTATTATTTAATATATATGTAATTTTGGTGAAGAATTCGTAATGCTATTCGCTGCATATATATTTTAAGACCAAAAACGTACGTAGCTTTGCTGTATCTTAAAATGTGTGAGGGTATTAAATTTTTCACTTACCAAAATAGCCTTCCGTTCTCGGGCTTTGTCATTTGAAATCAACTCATCCAGAACTCGAGCTAAAAACATAATATATCAGATATTCAGTGAGGCAATTTATTACCAAATATAAAAAAAAAATCTTAAAATCTGATAAGTTATTTAATACAATACACTTTCATAAACCTTTTAACTGAAACCATCCTAAAGATTAAATTTGTTATCTTGTAAAGTAGTTTTTATTCCAAGCTCCACACTTTTAGGTTTTTAGTATATTTTGACCGGCCCATTATCATCTTAACAGTTAGCATTGCCAAGAGGTTGTTGACCCAAATCGACAAAATAACCAAATAATGAGGTTAAGCAAAGTTTTAAATACAAACAATTGCAATTTAAGAATACTAATAATATCTTATTTTCCAGCGTCTTTCTTGGCAACAAACTCCACTCGTGCCAGCCGGCGTAATGTCTTTCCATTTGGATTAGCTGGCAGCTTGTCGGTAAACTGAACCCCAGCGTGAAGTTGCTTCTGAATCGAAGGAAGTCTCTTGGCCACATGATCTGCTATTTCCTTAGCAGTAATTGCGGTTCCCTGTCTCTTGACCACCAGGGCACCCGCAGCATCACCTTGTTGCTCATTATAGATGCTTATCACACACACTTCGTCCACTTCGGGTAGCTCTGAGATAACACCTTCGATCTCTGACGGCCAGTAGTGGTTTCCTTGGTACTTTAGGATCTCCTTTTTGCGATCCACCACATATAGCAGATTCTTGTCGTCAAAATAACCCAGATCGCCGGTGTGCACCCATCCTTCATAGTCCTGGGTTCGTCGAGACTCAAGAGGATTTCCATAGTATCCTTTCCAGGGAAGACCTGTATGGACATAGATCTCTCCCGTCTCATTGTAACCCAGATTCTTCCCAGCTTCATCCACAATTCGAATTCTTATGCCTGTCAGTGGCTTTCCAGCAGCGTTGGCGTTACGAAGCCCAAAATTATAGGCTACTCCACCGACCTCGGTCAATCCGTAACCTGAACACAGCATTGCCTTCGGGCAGAGCTCCTGCATTTTCTTCAGTGTGGTCATGGATGTAAAACCACCTCCGTAGTTTACGGTCGTGATAGAGGCTAAGTCTTCCTTTGTGGCTCCCGGATATGCAATCAATGCAGACATATGACGAGGAGGCAGAATTACAGAGTTAATCGTGTACTTCTTGACAAGATCTGTAAAATAGTCCGGAGCGAATGGCTTGTTGGTTATAATACGGGTGCAACCAACAACAGTGCTCAAGAGAAAAGAGGTCAGACCACTATACCAGTCCAGACCACTTGCGGAAAAAGTGACTAATTCGCTGTTCAGCATACTGTAAGTGATATATAAAATTAGGAACCTACATAGAAAGTTTCAGTATTTACGGCTTACAAGTAATCGAAGAAAAGTGCTTGGTTGGATATGCAAACGGCTTTGGGCAAGCCTGTTGTCCCGGATGAGCACAAAATGGCCATGGTCTGTTCGCCTCCTTCCTTCAAAAGCTCTGGCCTAAAAGAAAGTTGCATTATTAACATTTTCGTAATATAAACTCCTCGAGCTCACTGGTAAAATATTTCTGTACTTGTAGGCGCTAGAAGAGTATCAATATGAGGGACTCCTTCAATGGGGTCAACGACTGTAAAGATCTCTGGCTGCCATGCTTTCGTCGCTGCACGGACTTTCTCAACATCCTGTCCCTCGCAAAATACAACAGTTGGTTTGGTTATCGAAAAAATGTGTGTCAGAGTAACTAAAATCAAAAAAATATTAATAATTTTGTATAATAAGAACTTCTGATTACCAACCTTCGTCCGTCACCGGATTCACCGCATGAAAGGGTGTTCCATTCAACAGACAAGCTACTGCCACAGGAGTTACATAGGTGGAGTTTCTGGCCGTAATGCCAATCACGTCCGGATACTTGAGTCCCTTACTCTTAAAGATCTGGGCTATACGTATAGCCCAAGTTATGCCTTGGCCAAAGGTCAATTCCACGCCATCCACATCGTTTATCTAGATATAAAATTTAGATGATTATGCGATCTTTTGTGATGTAACCAGATCAGATTCACCTGACAGACGTTGTTTGGCCAGTTCCTCATTACGTTGCATATTATCTTGCCAATAGACGTCTCTTCGGTGTATGTAGGAACCCGTTTGGCTCCACTCCAGATCCGATTCTGCGTATCGTAAAATGTGGGGAATCCTTCCATTATACTGCTACACTTTTCTCGACGTCTCCTCGTTGGAATCAAAAACAATACTACCGGTTTTGGTCAAGTGAGAAACTATTTATAGTTAGCTGGAGCTTTAAAAAAAACTGCCAGTAATAAATGACCTGCATCAATTGCTCAAGCAGCTGAACAACATGGCTTATCTTATCAGAAAAACATTTTATTTGGAGACGGATTCAAGAGGCTAATAATTATTAATAAAATAGTTTGTATTAACACTAAACCAATAAACTTATTTATATTAGTATTTCGATTTTAAAACATTTTTTTCGATAACTAATGTAAAACTCCTGATAAGATCAAAAAATATTATAATTCTTATTCAGCAACATTTTCTATCTTATCACTAAACCTAATCTGAAAAGCCAGAACTCGTTCGATTTCTTTTAAAAGTTTAAAGTTTTATTCTACCCAAAAGCTTATAATTGGTCTGAATGGCCTTAAACGATTGACTATCTTAAAATTGTAGAAACCATTATGATAAGAAAATCATTCATTAAATGGCACGAGGGTACTATCATTTTTTTATGACTCATATTTAAATCGTATCTAATCTTCCTTTTTTATTCTCATTAGGCTGATGTAATAAAAACTACGGCAGTCCAATACTTTTTAAATCTTTAGTTCATAGTCCTAACCAGACAGAAATACAAAGGGATTAAAAACCTTTTAAGGTAAAATACATTTTATTAGAATCCAAAGGTCACCTCGGTATCGAGAGCCCCTCCTCAACCAGGACACTTGAACAGTACATTTGAAGGGTTTCAAGTATCTCTCAGTACTTGTGATTATAACTATACTCTATCGTGCGGATCGTTAAGATCTCACTTTCCTGTCCCGCTCTGAGCAATGAATACGTCGCGTGCCGTCTTGCGCATTGTCTTGCCATTGACATTGGCGGGCAGTTTGTCAGTGAAGTGGACTCCGGCTCTCAGTTGCTTCTGCGTGGCGGGCAGTCGCTTGGCCACATGGTCGGCAATTTCTTTACCCGAAATTGTGGCTCCCTTGCTCCTAACCACCAGTGCTCCCGCCGCATCGCCCTCTCGCTCGTCGTATATACCCACCACACACACATCCTGAACCTGCGGTAGCTCCGAGATCACGCCTTCGATTTCGGTGGGCCAGTAGTGGAGACCATTGTATTTGAGAATCTCCTTCTTGCGATCCACTATGTACAGGAAGTTCTGCTCATCAAAGTAGCCAAGATCGCCGGTGTGGAACCATCCTTCGAAGTCCTGCATGCGTCGTGTCTCCACAGGATTTCCGTAGTACCCGTTCCACGCCTGACCCGTGTGCACATAGATCTCTCCCACTTCGTTGTAACCGAGATTCTTGCCATCCTCATCCACGATACGGATCTTGATTCCAGGCACAAGTCTTCCCGCCGAGGACACGTTACTAATTCCAATATTGATAGTGATGGCGCCCACCTCTGTCATTCCGTATCCCGAGTTGAACATGGCTGTCTTGCAGATCTCCTGCGATCGCTGCAGAGTGGCCAATGAAATCGATCCTCCACCGTAATTAAGGTGCGTAATGGGAGCCAGGGCTTCCGGTTTCGCATCCGGACAAGTGATCAGTGCGGATAGGTGACGGGGTGGCAGTACAGCATAGTTAATCTTGTACTTCTTCACTAGGCCCACAAAGTACTCGGGAGTGAAGGCTTTATTGCTGATAATACGAGTGCAACCGAACACGGTGCTGAAAACGAAAGACCACAGACCCGTGATCCAGTCCAAACAGCTTCCTACATAGATAACCGATTCACTGGTAACCAACCTGATAAGATAATTAAAAGTCAAACGTCATTCTCAGTGTTATGAAACATGCTTACATGCTGTCCTGTATGAGGATGCTGTTGGATATGCAGACAGCCTTGGGAAGTCCAGTTGTTCCAGAGGAGCATAGAATGGCTACGGTTTGGTCACCGCCTTCCTTCAAGATTTCCGGTCTATAAGAAATCTTGATTAGCTATCAATATCACAAAACAATCCACTTTCTACTTACTGGTACACCTTTTCAGTGGTCGTTGGATCCAGCAAAGTTTCTATACCCTGGACTCCTTCTACGTGATCTGTGAGTGTAAGAATTTCCGGATGCCATCCAACTGTGGCTCTGTGAACTTTATCGTATTCGTGTCCATCGCAGAATATCAGGGTTGGCTTGGTGATGGCAAACACATGGGTTAATGTTCCTAAACGAGAGATTTATATATAATATATATGAATAGATCAATATTCCTAGGATCTAACGAACCATCATCTAGCACCGGATTGACTGCATGGAATGGGGTGCCATTCATCAAACATGCTACTCCCAGGGGCATCACATAAGTTGAGTTCTTAGCTGCAATGCCAATGACGTCCTTGTGGTTAAGGCCTCTCTTCTTGAGATACTGGGCGATCCGGATGGCCCAGGTAAGGCCCTGCTCAAAGGTGACTGTAACTCCATCAACATCACATATCTGGAAGCAGGATTTAGGTTTAAGTTTATACTAAGAGTGTCCTTCCTGGTAAGGCTCACCTGGCATATGTTCTTCGGCCAGTTCTTCATGTTGTTGAAAATGATCTTGCCCACGGATGTGTCATAGTTATACATGGAGTTGCGCTTGGCTCCGCTCCAGACGTTATCCTTTTCGTTATAGGTGGTGGGTATCATGGTCATCTTGTGGTTTCCTCGAGTAACTTATTCGCCGACTGTGGTAAACGCGGGTGAGTGCAGTTCTATTTATGAGGAGCCACAACTTTGGGAATCCAGTCTCGATAGACACCTTAAGTGGATCCACTGCAAGTGGCTAACACCTGTACCATCTTATCTGTGCCCGCTGAAGATAGTGCACCAATAGATTTCGGTCTTGGCCATGACTATTTTATACCCTGGCTCTGCAGTTTTAAGGTGCCCCAGTTCTTAATCTAAATACATTAATCCAGTATATGGTTTTGAAAAACTACAAACAATTCCAGTAGGCTAACACCACCTATTAAACTAATATTCCCGCTAATACCACTAACTAAAACCACTCAGCGGTATTTACAGCGAATTTAGATATACTTAAAAGTGGAGTAAATATGTAAGTGGTATTCAGAAAGGTTACCTATCTAATCTTTCCCATTCAGTGCTAAAACGAATCAAATGAAAATCCCAAGTCCCCACTGACAAACAGCCCCTAAGTACCGCTATAAATAGGGGAAAACTGCCCAACACCTGGCTATCTCCGATTCAAATCACGTAAACTGTAAAATTGTCCAGGAAGTAGCACAGTAATGCGATCATTGCCCACTTTTATTACTTATGAGATTTTAACACAACCATAACAAGTTTTATGGGCTTATTAATCCTTTGGTTACCTCGCATTCCTGATTAAATGTTTACGTGGATTAAGTCCTATATCGTCACCTAAGAATTGTTATTTAATAGGCCGGAACTATATTTATGTTTATACGTTAATGTATTAAAAAGTTTAGAGTTTAAAAACTTACTTGAACGTAAGTAACCCACATTGTATTTTTAGGATGTAAAAAAATGTTAAGGGAGTTCTTACGTACCGTAATTTGGCCTTCTTTTGTGATTCCAAAATATTCAAATTTTAAACGGCGCTTAAGTCTGAGCAATCTGGCAGCTCTTAGAACGGTCTGGCAGCAATGCGAACAGCTGTCAGACCAGCTGATATTGCAGGCAGCCCTGGTCGCGAAAAATTCACGGCCAAAATTCGCGGTCATTATCAAAATCGCGGAAGTCTCTAGTTTTATGTAATGTTTAGGTGACGCGGAATAATCCCCAATCTGAGCGCTAATTGTCCTACTTCGCTATGTTTTATTACCACCTCGGGGTCGTGGTCCGTTGCTCGCGGCAGAAGCCGCTGATATTGTGGGCGCCCGTCTGCCACATGAGTGGACTCAGCCCGATGAAGGAATATCAGCAGCGCGTCAGTTCTGGGCAACTGATGACGGATGAAAGGCAGTCCCAAACAATGAAGGAGCTGGATGCACTGTACCACAAGATTCAAGGATACAGACCCAGTTACAGGTCGGGTGGCGGCGGTGGCTTTTTTAGCTCCCTCTTCGGCCGGAAATCCAACGAAGAAGATGATCTTGACGATCCCAATGCTGGCAGCCACGCCCCTCAGGGTCTGTATCTCTATGGCAGCGTGGGAGTGGGAAAAACCACGCTGATGGACCTGTTCTTTGACTGCTGCACCAAAGTAAGTGATAAAATAATTTTTCAGGAGGAATTTAACCATGAGTTTGACTTTTTAAGATCGATCGCAAGCAGCGCGTTCACTTCACGTCTTTTATGAACAGCGTGCACACCCGAATCCACGAAGCTAAACTTAAACAGGGACCTGTTGATCGAGCCTTCAATTCGGAGAAGCCCCACCCTTTTGATCCCACAAAACCTGTGGCTGACTTGATTGCCAGCGAATCCTGGTTGATTTGCTTCGATGAGTTCCAGGTGACGGACATAGCTGACGCAATGGTGCTGAAGCGCCTATTCACCCACCTCTTTCGGCATGGCATTGTAGTTGTAGCTACCAGCAATCGACATCCGGAGGATCTCTACAAGAACGGCCTGCAGCGCACAAACTTCCTGCCCTTCATTGGACTGTTACAGCGACGATGCAAGGTATCTCAATTGGATTCCATTGACTACCGGCGGATAGCTCAGTCTGGTGATACCAACTACTTCGTGAGAGGTCAAACGGATGCCGATGGTAGCATGAACCGCATGTTTAAGATCCTTTGCGCCGAAGAGAACGATATTATCAGGCCGCGAACACTGACTCACTTCGGAAGGGATTTGACCTTTAATCGCACCTGTGGTCAGGTACTGGACAGCACCTTTGCAGAACTATGTGATCGCGTAAGCATACTAGAAACGAGGATATAACCCATACTAACTCATATCCCCACATTAGCCCTTGGCTGGTAGCGATTTTCTGCAGATCTCGCAGTTCTTTCACACCGTCCTCATCCGAGATGTGCCCCAGTTGACCCTGGATGTGAAGGCGCAGATGCGGCGCTTCATAACGCTCATAGATACCCTGTATAATAATCGAGTGCGTGTGGTCATATCGGCCGACGTTCCGCTGGAAAGTTTGTTTAGTTTCACTGGAGGTTCCAAAAGTCTATCCGATTCTGAGAGGACATTAATGGACGACTTAAAAATAGTGAGTAACTCTACATAGAACTTATTAGAAAACCATAAAAAAAACTTGTTTTATCTAACAGAACGAATCTAAAGCCAGTTTTTTCACCGGTGAGGAAGAGCTTTTTGCTTTCGATCGCACATTATCTCGACTCTACGAAATGCAGAAGCGGGAATACTGGGAGCAATGGGCCAAACATCGCTAAACCCCCATATCACAAAGCAGTAGTTCAATTAGCGCAATTAAATTATTTGTTTTCTACCTCGATGTCGCGGAATTTTTCAAACAAAATTTCTTGTACTTATCAAATCCCCTATAAAAAATGCAATATTAACAATAGGTGCCTTTCGCAAGTATTAAAGCAATAAAAAAATAGACAAAGTTACCTAAGCGGTTGCCTGTATCAAACAAACAACATTTGCATTTTTAATCTCAACTTTAGAATTACAATAATTATTTGTCGTCAGTGATCTTGTAACGGTTTTAAGCTCTAAAATTATCAGTTAAACTGCGCGATCTGGCAACGCTGTCATCAGCTGTCCAATAATCAAATTGATAAGATTTTTCCCATGTTTTTTGGTTGAGGTTCAGGAGAAGATTAGAGGTCAGGAACTAACGAACGATTTTATCTTTAAGTGGAAATTAATCTCCGAAATTTACGGGTTTGGCAGTAATGAGCAACATGGATGTGAAGGAACTGGAAGTAAACAAAACCCTGCCCTATGGTAAGATAGCATATCACATAAAAATGAAGATAATAAATAATAATAATAATATATGCAATTATAAAGACCCCTCCCTGCTCACGGTAAATATCTCGCTGCGCCAGATCGAGGAGATCGCTATGACAGTATCCCAGCGCTGCCATGTCACCGGGGCCAACGAGATCGCCTGGGCTCTAAGAGCCCTGATGTTGACCGATCTGACCACCTTGGCCGGCGATGATACGGCGGCCAATGTCAGAAGGTTATGCCTTCGCGCCTGCTATCCTTTTGAGCCGCAGTTTTTTGACAAGTTCTTTGATCGAGCCCTTATCCCGGAGATGCACACGGCAGCCGTTTGCGTTTATCCCGCCAGGGTAAAAGATGCCTACACAACACTCCAGCAGTACGACAAACTGGACAAAGTGGCCATTGCTGCAGTGGCTACTGGCTTCCCCACGGGCCAGTATGGTCTTCAGACACGTCTGCAGGAGATCAGTCACGCCATTCTGGCCGGTGCCACTGAGATCGACATTGTGATTAACCGCCAATTGGCGCTGGTGGGCGACTGGGAGGCCTTGTACAACGAGGTAGTGCTAATGCGTAGCGCCTGTGGGCAGAGAGCTCATTTGAAAACTATTCTGGCCATCGGAGAACTGGGAACTATGGAGAACGTATGACGAATTAAACGTAATCCTGTTAAATATTTATTAACCCCAATCATCCTTGCAGGTCTACAAAGCAGCCATGGTCTGCATGCTGGCGGGAGCCGATTTTATAAAGACCTCTACTGGAAAGGAGACTGTAAATGCCACACTGCCCGTTGGACTAGTCATGATATTTGCCATCCAGGAGTTCAAGCGCCGCACTTGCCAGATTGTGGGCCTAAAGCCAGCTGGAGGAGTGAAAACAGTGCGAGATGCCATTGCCTGGATGACGCTGGTCCACGAAACATTAGGCATCCGGTGGCTGCGTCCCGAGAGATTCCGTTTTGGAGCCTCTGGACTACTGGACGATATCGAACGCGTGGTGCGCGAGGGTGTCAAAAAACTAGAAGAGGAGGAAGCCCTGAGGAATGTACCCGCCTCTAAAGAGGCTGCCGCCGCCGAGACCTTCTGCAAGGAGCTACGCAAAAAGAAGGAGGCCCCTTAAGGAACTTATCATCCTAGCCTTGACTCACACGGAGTGCATTTATTGTAGCATTTTTATACAACTGACTAAAACCTATAAAAAAACACATCTATGAGCGACGTTCGTTCTGGACAGGAGATTTGAAGTTGAATGCTAACTGCGCCGGAGCCGCCATCAAATCTTCCTCTCCCTGCTCCTCGCCATGCTGCAGGAGCTCTCCGGTCGAAACCTGATCCTTATGCGGCTGATTGTCCGGCATCTTCACCTGCATGTCCACCGCAAAAAATGAGTCATCGAAGTTTATCCGGTTGCGCTCGTCCTGCTCTAGATACATAGCTTTAGGAGCAATGGGTCCTCCCATTGCCTTCTCGTAGGTGTTTAGCCACTTGAGGTTAAGGTTAATGTGCTTGTTAGCCGCGTTAAACTTCTTTGGCTTCTTCTTTGGCTTGTCCGTGTAGTAGTTATGTTCCGACTTCTGCGGCGGAGGAGCAATCTTCTCCAGCATCCTGCTCTTGGCATCCAGTTTGGGTTCTGCGTAGTCGAAGAGCGGCAAATAGAAGTTATAAGGTTGCTCCGTGGGGGGCAGCATTCGCTGCTGAGGCTGCACTTGCTCCTGCACCTGGCTACTGGCCTCCGCCATGGCATCTTCTTCTAGAGCGGGACCGAAGATTTCGCCAGCACGCCGGAGTAGGTTCTCCAAACGCTCTATGGTAATGATATGCGGATGGATGAGCTGGACATCGTCGTGCAGTTGTGCCCGTCGAGCTGTTGGAGGCTTGGCGACCACACTGCAGCACAATGCGCACAACAGCAGCTGCAAGGATGGGAGAACTTAGTCCGATTTCTCATTGTTCAGTAATCACCTAAAACTCACAGCTAGTAAACCATTCATGACAAATTTAATTCCAATAGATCTGATCGAATCACTTTCAACTACTCATAGGCAGTGCTCCAATTTAACCACCTTCACTTTCAGAGATCTCACATGGAGTGAGGTCTCCTTGGAACTGGCCAATTCATTTATACTGGCGCTACGTGCTCGAAACGGAAGCTCGGAAGTCTCCACCATCAATGGCCAACAACAAACCAGCCTGGAGCCTAGTTAGTTGGGAGAAAACTAGTTTCTCACATGAGAAATAAATATGTAACGAGCCAAACTAGACTGCACATGTATGCACACGCCAGAGCGCATAATAATGTTAATGTAACAGCGATGCTGATACCAACGACGGAGTTGAACAAACTGGAACCGCCAGAGACGAACCGTTTGTCACTCATAATGAGTCCGAGCGATTGCCTGCCGCCTAGCCGTCGAAATTGTCCAATTTCAGGCAGTGGCCAGGGAAAAGTCGGGCGCTCCAATAGCTGTGCAGTGCAAGTGCATTGACCCACACAATTATTTCCGCAGCAATGGGGACGAATGTGTGAACCCGTTTCGATTGTTTCGACTCATTGCCCGTAAAAGTGCAAGTTCAAAGCTGCAGGAAATGCTAAACGACGGCATAATGGCAAAAGTGTAACGGCCACAACTTGTTCGTTGACTCGATCATCAAAAATCGTCGCATTGTATTCAACATATCAGGAGTTTATTAAACATATCAGCCACTTTCCAATCATGATTGCCTCAGCTCGGGCAATCCTTTAATGATAACATCCAGTGCCTTTAGGTCCTTGTTGACAGTATCACTCAGCACCTCCATGGCGCGTTGTTGCATGGTCAGGAAGGTCTTCATCTCGTTCTCAGCCTCTTTATCGATGGAATATTCGGCTCCTCCGTTGGCTGCGAATTGATTGCGCTGCATGCGCATCTGGGAGAGCAACTCGCTTAGTCGACCCTTGAATTGGGTGGGAGCGGACACGACGGCCTGCATGTTCTGCAGCTTGGTACGCATCGCCTCTTCCTCGGGCGTCAAGGAAGTGCCCACTTTTCGAGTGCACTCTTGTTTCACAATAATCTAAGGATAACAAAGTTTATGTTAAATAAAAAAGGGCAAAGCTGAAAAACTTTTGTTCCTACCCTGAGTATGCGATGTCCCAGCTCAGCTAACTTTCGTTTATGTTCTAGAATCTTGGCTGTGGCCGTGGCATGACGCTGTCTTAACTCTGTCAGTTCACTCTCCACTTTCTTCATGTACAATGCATGTGTATCCGTTTCCTGTTCCTGGCACTTAACACGCCACTTTAAGTCGTTGAAACCCACCATAGGCACTGGTATAAATTTGCTGGGGTCTGGATTGTCCGAGTTAGCCTGACGCCACATTCGCGGATCAACGCCTCGGGGTGGATTTTCAAGGTACTCCTTTAACTGATCCTCATCGGGCAACACCAGAGCCAAAGCCTCCCCGATACCAAGATTATTGAGCTGGGGTTTTAGCGATGCCTGGTTGAGGTAGTTCGAGAGTTCGGTGGCCAAGATACGTTTACTTTCATTGGGTGCATGCTGCAGCTTCTCTTCTACGTAGATAACCATCTGACACTTTTTGTTCTCCAGCTCCTTGATGGAATCAATGTGGACCAACATGTTTGGCTTGCTGCCGAATAAACTGTGAAGCGTTTGGACGACTTGCTGCTGATGTGGCCTAAAGTAAAGGTTATAATTATATTGGATTCATGAAATAGTTCAATAAGCTTACTTAACGGCAGAGAGTTCTCTGCAGAAGTTCAGTGCCACCAGTCCCAATTTGTTATCCTTGCCTGGCATGCGACTATAACCGATGGCCTTAAACCGACACATCAGGTTCTCAGGCGTGATGTCCACTGGCGCCGCACTCTGAGAGTAGAACATCTTCCCAGTGCCCCATGTAGCCTGCAAGTAGTTCCATTTTGCAACTATTTTATCCCGGTCATCGCCAAAAATGGACACATTAAGAATGGACTGGGCAAACGCCTCGTCGGCCGAAATGGGCGCTGGCTGCTGTTGCGGCTGTCCAAGCATAAAGTTAGTGCCACCGAATCCACCAAATCCCGGCGTGACTGTTGAATTCGCTGGTTTTCCAAAGGCTAAAACATGAACCAGGTTAGGAATACCACACAAATTCAAATTGGCTAATTAAACTCACTTGATCCAAAGGCTCCGCCTCCAAAGCCAGTCGACTGGTTAGTTCCAAAGCCGCCAAAAGCAGGTGCCGAAGTAGTAGTTGTACCAAAGCCTGCAAATCCACTTGCTGGAGCTGTACTCGCTGCTGCCGGCTGACCGAATCCACTGAAAGCCGGTGGAGCGGCACTAGTCGCTGCAGCGCCGAATAAACTGGCTTGACTCGTTGCTGGAGCTGCTCCAAATCCTCCGAATCCGCCTCCACCTAACCCCGCGCCCGCTGTTGTCGTTGTCGCTGCTCCAAACGCCGGAGCACTACCAAAGGCAGAGCCACCGAAAGCAGAAGTAGATGTGGCAGCTCCAAATGCCGGAGCAGCTGCCGTGGCACCAAAAGCCGGAGCTGCAGCGGGTGCTCCAAAGGCGGATCCTGCTCCAAAGGCAGATGTAGCCGGCTGAGTGCCAAAGGCCGGCGTCGATGTGGCCTGGGCTCCAAACGCTGGCGCTGGCTGGCTAGCTGTGGCAGCTGCTCCAAACGGCGATCCAAAGAGGCCACCAGTTGCTGAGCACAGAGATAAGAAAACAGAAAAATGGGTCAGAGTTTCGAAAACTAGGCTTCCGCATTGGAATCTTATCTATCATTTCGCTTTCCGAAACCTAGCTCTATTTAGTTTGTTTCTAGTACTGAACGTACACTGGTCGTTGGAAATGGCTGTGGTTTTTATTTTGCTGATTCTCGTGCTGGGTTTCGTGGGATATGTCGCCTATGTGGTCCACAAGAAGGGGTGAGCAACCACATCTTGCGGATATCAAATAACATAAATCCATTTTTTACCCATCTACAGCATCGACCCCAAGGACATCCGCATCCATAGCTTCCAGGACGCCAAAAAGCTGCTCCAGCCACCTCCAAGTGGAAATGGACCCCACAAATACCTGGAGAAGAGGGCATGAGGTCTTGTTTACGGAAACTCACTTTTGGTCGGCGTGCTGGTTGCTCCAAGCGATGTGTTGGCTCCGAAGAAGGACATGGTGCGGAATTCCCGAAGTCGATATGTTGGCAAAGAGTTAGTGGAGCCTTTCCTAAAGGCCGCTCGGCTTAATCTCAGTTAAATATTAATAAAAATAGACTTAATTCTAATAAACGAAAATTTTTGGCGCTTCTAAGCAGTGTTACCAGATTACAAAACGACATTTTGCCAGATCTCCTAGTCCAACCAATAATTGCCTAAAATATCGGGAAATGTTTAAATAGCAGCAGCGTCCATTAACTTAGCGGTTAACATGTGCATGTTATGAATAGCTATAGTGTTCATGAAAAGGAAGCTAGTTAACATAACATGTAGATAATGCGTAACTTGAGTTGAAATTTACCAGTATTTATAAATTTTCGTACGTTTTAAATTTTGACGGTTATACTCAGAAATCAGGTTAAATCAAGGAAAATCTTTCAAAATTAAGTAATTTAAGCAAATTAACAAGTTAATTGCTTTGGCAAGTGAGCTTCCCACTTTGGCTAATACTAATTACATCTTTTGGGCTTGTTCTTTTCTTTATTGATACACTTATAGCATAGCATAGTATAGAATTTGGTTATCAATAGACATACACCATATACAAATTTCTTTGAAATTATTCCAATTTAATTGCAATAACGTTCAAAAATCATCGCAACCTCTGCTCACCAGATCCAAAGAGATACATTTATATATATATCAATTACAAATTCGTGTCGCACAATAGTAAATTTTTTAAAATTCACAAAAATTAACAGGGAACTAATAATACGATCCGAGGAGTTATATATATAGCCCGACTTCGATTACGATCTCGCTCGTGCCAACTATTTTATACAAGTCATCATCGAGACGATCTCATTTTTTGTAGCTTCTTGCTAGTTCGATTGCAACTCGAGATTTGATTTAAACTCCGAGCTGTGCATTTAAAAACTAAGGTGCATACATTTCTGATTTACTGCTTTGGAAGTTAGTGGTCTCCTTCGGATTCGAGTATATCGCTCTCTTTTCTGGCTAATTCAGATGCATTTAATCGTTATAATTATATATATATATATATGTATGTGTACGCATATATGCTCGTTCTACAACTAGGTTTGTGTTAACAAAAACAAAAAAAATTATAACAATTTTGTAAATGGAAATACATTGATAGTTTGCGTTTGTATGAGTGGATGATAAGAATGAGTTATTTCCCGGAAGGGAAAGGATCAAAGGATCGAGGAATCAGGGAGAAACATGGACAACAACGAGAAGAGCTAGCGAACGAGCGATCGGAAAGCGCAGCAGCCAGAGATTCTGACGCACTCGATATACGTAGCCGTATATGTATCTCCATTGGTTATGCACTGGCTATATATATATATGTAACATTTAGATTAGTATGCGCGTGTTTTATAAAGTAGACAAATATATGTTCTAGTGGCCTCCGGAGTGCTCGCTACCTTCGCTCCCGCTACCTCAGAAGACAAAGCGGTTGATGTTCATGCCCAGTCCGTTGCCACCGCATCCTCCCGACGGCGGTGGCGCCTGGTCATCTTCGTCGCCGTCGAAGGTATTGTGTCGGCTGACGAATCCATTGCCATGTCCGCCACTGCTGCGCTTAAAGCGCTGCATCTTCAACTCCTCGTTGTAAACATGGTTGTCCTTTCTTACATAGTCGCGCAGCTGACGCGGCAATTCCTCTAGCGTTAGTGGCGGTGATATTGGCACCGAGACTACCGCATTGCTCGATCCCGATCCCATACTCGAACTACAGCTGGCCGAAGCTACATTAGACTCATTCGAGCGGCCGCACATCTTGTAAAACAGAATGTACGGCGTGTTGGGAGAAGTGAGGTTGTGCATCTCCTCCGGCTGCGAGTGGGTTACCAGGTTGTCGTTAAACTTGTACCAGTTCTTTGCTTGATCCGCCGCGAACGTAAAATAGTGGCCGGAATCCATGCTGTAGCCAGCGTGCACAACTCCGGCATACAAATCATAGTGCACAGTTGACATCTCCTGCAGTGAGTCCGTGGCGGACATTTTTACTGTGACCTACAATGCAAAATGATTAGTTATTATCATTAAAAATAAACAAATCTCAGGTACTAACGCTCTCATCGTGGAACACCTTATGCATCAGTTTGGTGCGGAAGTGGTACTTCTGATCGTACTTGAATTGCTTGAGCGTGAGTATAAGGTTTCTGGGCGCCTGGGTGACCCCGATGTGGCGCTCCGCGTCGCAAAGCTTCTTGCATTGTGGACAGAAGTACTGATTGTCTCCGTCCAGCTTCTCCGGAGAACAGTAGTACTCGATCAGGTCCTGCACTGAGTAGTTGGTGGCTCCACAGTCGTCCTTATCATCGGGAAAAGAAAGCTGGAGTTCCCGGAAATTGTCCTCGTTCCGGCTTTCCCAGCCGCAGCATAGACATCGGTAGGTGGTGGACAATTTGCCAGCGAAAGTCTTGTCGATGGTAGATGGTGGCTTCGTGGAAGTCGCTTGCTGTCCCTGCTGCTGCGAGCCGTTTGTGCCTTTGGTGGGTGTCGCGGGGGGAGTGGGTGTTATCTTGTGACTACAATTGCCACTGTTGTTTCCGCTGCCGAGCTCACTATCCTTGCTATTGTACGGAATCACGCCGCTGGTCACAATATCCTCACTCAAAAGGGCGGGAACGTCATCGGTCTCCGCGCTGGTCTTCGTTGGACCGGCATTGCGGCCAGAGGATAAGGAGCTGTTTATCTCATGCTCGTGCAGCAGATCGAGCAGATAGCCTAGGAACTCGGAGCTGTCCTGCTGAAGGCCGGGCGTAAAACCAGGCGGTCGGGTGGCATTAAGCACTCGCGAAGGCGTCAGCTCGTAACGCAGCGAGTGGTGCATCAAAGCGATCTGTTGCTGCACCTTCATTAACAGCATGGAATCGCATTCGATAAGAAGGATCTGCCTGCTGAAACTGAAAGAAGAAAGTATCTATTAGTATTGTGATTCATTTACATAGAACTATTGTTTTTATGTAATAGAAATCAGATTACAATTTCGATTCACGTTTACTGCAGATAAATGTTTATGCATCCGATAACTAGTAATAACAAAAATTGACATTTAAAAACCTGTTTATATAAAAAAAGGGGGTCTTAAGCGGAAGGCACCGAAGCAGGGAAACTAAATATTTATATTGAACCAAGGTCTACGATTTCAACAGAGCTGTAATTCCAATAGCTATTGGAGGAAAATCACACATTTCTCTTATTAAATTAAACACTTATCTCAATGTTGCTCTTTAGAGGCTATGTACTTACTCGCTGGTCATGGCCAGGGCCTGAAGTACACTATTCATGTAGCAGGTATTTCCCAGATTCACCAATCCGACCCTCGCATTCCGACGACTCCAAGGCTGGGCATTCTCATGCATTGCGCGAGCCAGTGCTACACAATTCGGCGATGGCTCGTACGTTTGCAGAGCCTTCTTGGTGGCGACATAGAGCTCATCCTGGTCGTAAAAACGCAGCATAAGAGCGCTGGTAATGTCGACCAGCTGCTGCAGACAATTTTGTGTTTCCACGCCGGCAGACTGTCTCTTTAGATACTGCAGCACATGGGGGACCTTGGGCAAGATCTGAAAGGAAAAACAGTTAATTGGGGGGTTCAAGAGTATATTCAATAGAAACTACCTTGTGGAAAACTTCGGGCGTCTGATTAATTGTCGAAAGCATATGGAACACTACCGGCGCTGCCTTTTGTCGCAGAGCCGGGAAGATCATCACGTTAAATAGCTTCTCAATGTTATCCAGCGCAATCTCGTCCAGCAGTACACGCTTGCCCTGATCACGCAGCCCTTTGAGCAGTGCGAGCACCCATAGATTAAGATTGCTGCAGAAAGTGCAGTAGGTTATCCAATCGCAGAGCAGGTTCACCGTCTTGCGAATGTTCGAATCCTGCACATTCTGCTCCAGCAACGAGTGTACCGCCTCGAGAATCTGGGTGGAGTCAAATAGCTGAAACACAACAGCCACGGCACAGGAAGGAGGCGGCTCAAACGGGTTCTTCGTTATCAACTCGTAGACAACACGCAGGTAAAACATCTGATGAAACTTCTCATTGCGTGAGGCCAAAAAGGCGCCCACTTGACACACGTCCTCCTTGAGAAGAGGGCAGACTCTTCCTCGTGGGATCTTCAGACGGGCCAAATCCACAATGGCCCTCTCGCAGATGGCCATCACATTGTGGTTCTCGGCTTGGTCAATACTCTGAATGTGGGCCAGTATAGTCTTGGTGTCCCACTTGTTCTGGGTCTCGCCGGAAGGTAAGCCCGTGTCCATGCCCTCAGGCGCTCCGTTTTCATCGGGGATCTTAAGACCGTTAGAGGACATTGGTTTGGAATTCGGTGGCATACCATTGCCTGCTCCTCCTGAGTTCTCCGAGGCATCGCCCGCCTCGCTGTTGTTCTGCTTGACGGCCATCTCGCGCAAGAGATGCAGTCGACGGGCACGGACGTGGGGAACGCGAAGTCTAGTGGACCACAAAGCCGACTGGAGTTTCCAGCTGCCGGGGGACGGAGGCTTTGGCTTTCCTAGCGCCCGAACACTGCGGCTATTCCGATGCCTGCGACTCTGAGCGAGGAGTCTGAGCCGCGTGTCCTTGAACCGCGCTCCGTTACGTGTCGTCGTTACGATGTGACTGCGGCCTTTCGACGGTTCTCGAGTGCGCCTCGATCTCTGTCCGATCCCGGGCAGAAACTGAGCCTGCACCACCACCACTTCTGCTTCCAGACGAATCCGAATCCTAGACGAGTTTGATGCACGGGAAGGTCGGTGGCCCGTGCCACATCTGAGGCCCTTTTTCCTGATTAACCTGATCGGTTGTAGACCCGATTCGTTGCTCACTCGGTACCCCTTCTTCTCGGTAACGCGGATTTATGGGATTCGCCCTAAAAACTACAATTTTGACAGCTTTTCAACTAATTCTTTGTGATTTTTCGGATTTGTTAATGTTGTCTACTGAGTCAGTGAAAGCGTTATCGACACGTTCAGATGGCATGACGGGCAGGGCGATTGTGCACGTTAATTCAGGGGTGAGAATGAGGCGGCAAAGATATTTAAATTAAAATTTTTTCAAATTCAACTGACAGAATTCAATTACATACGGTTATTCTAGATAAGGAGTTTTGAAATGATTTTGTTACTCCAGCAGGCCCTATTTTCTTTTCATTGCTTTTAAAAATATTTGTTATTATTTACGAACAGAGCTGCCAGATCGCGTCAAGTCTGCGACCGCTTGAACTTGCATAGACCGCCTTGAAGGCGTTGCCATGTGAATGAGAGCCGTTCTCTCCGAATGGCCAATGATATTTGTTTTGACTCGGCTTTCAAGCATTTCGTGAAATCAACAAATTAATTGATAACAAATAGATTCAATATATATAGATTATAAACCACACGATGCATCCCGGTCAAATTGAGGTCAATGAGATCACTGGCTATTGGACCTATCTGCTCAGCGTAAGTGAATTGCGTATTAGTCAGATTTGAATCCTTGACTCTGTGGCTTAATGTTTTAGATCGATTGGAAGGATCCTTGGCTTATTGGCCTGATTTTGGTGCACATCCTGACAACCACAACTGCTCTTCTCAGTCGGAACAACACTAATTTCCAGGTTTTCCTTTTTCTAGTACTGTGTACGTGGACTTTGTTGTTTTTCCGATATCTCTATTAATGTCTCTGTATTTTGCATGTGCTCTATCTTCAGTAATGGCAGTCTATTTCACTGAAAGCATTAATGAGTTCGCGGCGCAGAACTGGAGTTCCTTCTCCAAGCAACAATACTTTGATAGCAACGGTCTTTTTATCTCGACAGTTTTTTCAATTCCCATTTTGCTGAACTGTATGCTGTTGATTGTAAGTAAAAAGCTTTTGAAAATATTTTGTATATAAATACGTTATCTTTGTTTCTTTGCAGGGCACTTGGCTTTACAACTCCACTCAACTTATGGTGACCTTAAAAACAGCGCAATTGAAGGAGCGAGTTAGAAAAGAACGCCAAAATAAGGCGAATTGTGAATCAACAGTAGAGCACAGAAAGGCGGATTAGAATTTTAGATAGACCTTAGGCAGTATAAAACTTAGCGGAGCTGTGAAAATTTTACTTTCGGGTTAGCAAAATCAAAGATATTGCATTGTTTACTTCACAAATAGTGTTTGCTGCCATTTAGTATTAGTTTTCTGCAGAGCTTACGGCTTACTTAAAAGTAAAATTAATGTCAATAAATATATAACTAATTGTTTAAATTTCCAATGTTAAATATTTAGAACTTGTAAAGCCAATGTGGTGTGATGTATATAAAAAAATGTTCTAAAAATGTATTATACTTTTATTCAAAATTCTTGAAACTTAAGTACTAACTTATTCTTTGATTTGCGAAAGTTAAATTTTTGGCGGGCTTATCGATGACACACACCTTTATAGTAGCCAAGTTATCTTTTCAATGAGGGCTGCCACCTTATTTGATTTGCTTCTATTTCTATTCTGTTCCCAGATTGCTTATTCTTTCTATAATATTTTTATGGTATCGGGTGCATTTTTATTTTATTTTCGTTGCGATAAATTAATAAAAACACAAATAAATATTGTTTTTTCCCACTTAATAGCAGTGCGACATTTTGATAAATGTTTAAAAATGAACGAACTTTTGAACTAAAAAAAAACCAGGATTTTTTAGTGCCAATTCGATGTTAAGCACTTCAAAACTGGTAACACTGACTGCAACGTTTTTTTGTGTTGTTGTTGGCCTGTGGGTGTCGAAGCTGTTTCGCGGCGCGATGTTGGAAGTGAATTTTGGGTAAACAAAATCCGTTGATAAGATATCCGCACCGTGTTAATCGGGAGTAGCGCGACATATTTACCGTTGGCAAGCCCATATCAAGTGCAAAATCGTATACGAATTTAAAGCCAGGCTCCATTTCCTGTGCGTATGTGTGAGTCGTCCGGTCGGTGGTGTGTATGTGTTTTGAGCCCATAAGCGTAGCCCGAAAAAAAGAAGTTTTCCGTTACCATATTTTTTACCAAGGGCCAAAGGGCGCAGCATCTTCGCTCTCTATCTATCTATCGCTCTTCACCTCTCTCTTACATTCGTTAATGCGAGTTTTGCAACTCCGTTTATTGTGTGTAAACAGCAGGTGAAAAATATAACAAGGAAAGTGCAAAGAGTGAGGAAAAAGAAGCAAGCATAAGAAGAAGACTCAACTCCGCGCAGAGCAACAAAAAGTGACGCATAAATAAAGGTTGCTAATTACAAAAGGTAAACAACAAATACTCAGTGGATTCTATAGGTCGAAATTCCCAAGCAATCATTAACAATAGTAATAAAATGTTGTAAGGATTTGTCATTCCCCGAAATTTCCCGTTTCAAATTGCGTAGTAGGCTTCCACAATAACGGAACTCAGATGAGTGACGCGTTGGCGACGCAGCGCAAAATGTTCATTCATAAAAAGCGTCTGGCCCCCTTTCGACTCCCTCAAAATGGCCCCCTTTCGACTTTCCGACCACCCACCCCTGTTTGCGGTTACTGCTGGAATTTAGTTTACAAATATGTTTGTTGGTAGGTCTAGCTAGTTGACTTTGTTTTTTTTTTTGGTATGCAAAACAATAGTTAAGAAATAATAGTTTCATTGACAAATCTTAGAGCTTATGCCACGCCCCTTTTTTTTCATATGGTGCATCCACAAGTAAAATACAGGTTATAATTATGACACTATATAGTTCACATTAAATTATAACTTCTTTGTTATGAAGAAAACTTCATAAAAAAGTAATAATTATCAACTACCTTTATCTTAGGAAAGTTTTTAACTTGAGATTATAACTCTAGAATATTAAATTAAACCTTGTAGTTCTTATTAAAAACCAAGTTCATATAAATATGAAAAATATAAAAAAATTCCACATGAAATTGGTGGCGCATTCCTTAATTAATAGACCCTTATACTCATTAAGATTAGATCAGATACCGCCATATGGCGGGCGGTGAAATAATTAACTTGGCGAATAATTGAAAAAAAAGTCACACATAACTTGATCCAAGGGTCAGCCGAGCATTTTATCGCGTATCGTTTTGGCCTTTTCTTTCCCCACCTTTGGCAATCAGTAATATCGACAGGGGAAAACAGTAATACGGAATTTATGGTCAGCATGTCGCCAAAATGCCAAAGTCAAGCAAAATAAATACATACAAATAATGAAAACAAAAAAAAAAGTATAAAAAAACAATCAAAATAACTCGGTGACATCATTTTGACTAATCGCCAATTTTAGCATTTGAAAAACGGCGGCTGCTCACCCGGCCCACTAGCAAAACCAAAGGTGGGAAAGAGAGGGCACTAGGGACGGGCGGGAGTGAGAGGGGGCGAGCACACGGGCAGGTGCGCCAAGCCGAAGTTAAAGAAAAAAAAAACGAAGCTCACAAACCGAAGCCAGTCGTAGCATTCCAAACACCTACAAGTCCCCCAACTAGATCGTAGCCCTCTTCTGATATCAGCGAATTTCACTTTCGAGGCCCGTGCTATGATAATTTTACTATACTGCGACCCACTCGTATCATATAATCGCATTAACATCAAAACGCATTGCTTTTATCGCAGAGTAATAAATCAAAGCCGATTTAACAAACATATTACTCTGAGTATGCTTAAAATTTGCCAAGACTTCAGTTGCTTTAATTGGGCTGTTTTTACGACTCATTGCCTTGTTAACGATCTTTTAATTTACGATTTACGATTACATAAATCAAAGACTATGTGGAGTAGTGGATGATACTTAGCCTTTCAAGGAGGAACCACTCTAGAAAATAGACCAAGTATATTTTATTTCTAACCTTATCTTATCCATTTTGAAGGAATGCTTCTGAAAGTGACTACGATAGGCATTTAAATAGGTTTTTGTATCATAATAAAAAGAAACTTTAGTTCGGTTGAGATGTCTTTTTTTAGATTCAGTATCTAAAAATAGCTAAGGAGAGTATCGAATCCATGGCCAAATAAAAGACATTCTGATAATCATTTCTTTAAGTATTTATTGACTATTTGTTGATAATTTCCTTGGCAACTTCTATCAGATTCAATTAACCCGAACATATTGCGGCTCATTAGGAGGAGCATTCCAATCTGAAGAAGCGGCAGCTTGATCTAGTTCACCAGATACAACGCACACACGCATCCACACCCCACTAGTTATTTCTGTTAATTTTTGATGTGTGTGCTAAGAAGCGCCAGTGGAGAGTATTAGGCAGGCACTGCTCCAGATCCCCAGATATTTCTGAGACTATGTACGTATGAACGGTGTACGATGCGTCGCCTCGACTGGGTGGGTGGAAATGTGGAAATGTTGTGAAAAGCTAAATGAGGCGTGACATAAAAAAAAACGTAGGAAAAACAAGAGCCAAGCGACAAACACCCAGCGCAGCATAGAAAACAAACAGAGTTGAGTGCGGCCACCCACAACATGACAACATAGCCGCCACAACAATGGCAATAGAAACGCTGAAAAGGAGAACAAGAACTTGGGGCCCTGTAAGTTCCAAGCCATGGAGTAATTTCGGCCTAGAAACAACGACAGAAAAAAAGAAAACTGTCCAGTTGTTGGCGGAAAAGACAAAGGAAAATGCAAAAACCAAGAGAGCGGAAAGAAAAGCCAGGGAAATACTGCGGAAAAGTAGTGCACAATTAACCCTTTCTTTGAAGTCGCCTCCTCCGCGGGCTGTGTCCAGTGTCCACTGTCCACCATCCACTGTGCTTTAATTAGTTTATGGAACAAGCGCCCCAGCTAACTGCAATAAAATTAATCGTTTATGCTGTAATCGCATTTAGCGGCGCCCGACCTCCTTTCCAGTTTCCTCCTCCAGTTTCATCCGATTCCCCGGATTTCCCCCTGTTTGATGTATGGGCTGTACATACATATATATCGAAAGCGACAGCTCTATAGCTAGCTATATTCCATAACCAAGAGGCAGTCATGTATGGACATTCCATTACAGGGGGACTTTGGCTGGCGAATGGAGCGTAAAGCATCTGGTTATTTTTAGACCAAGCCCAGCGATTCCCTTTCTGAATAAGCCCAGTTCCCAGTATAAAACTTAAAGGGCTAACCATAATTGTTCGTGCTTTACAATCAATTTTGCACAAGAAACCAATTAACCGCACACAGTAAAGTCCAGAGGCAACAGAAATATGGATACACTTAACAGCAGGAGTAGCAGTATCGGCCACAGCCGCCCAATCCACTGGAGCCCATGTTGCAGCAACAGCGAGGAGCACAGGACGATCCAAAGGAGGAACCACAACTGGAATCACAACGTGGACCACAATTAGAACGATGAAATGATCCAGAAGATGTCCCACAGAAGGGATTCCACTCAGGTCCACAACCTCTCCCACCGCCACACGAGAAGGAGCGATCACAGAAGGTGGTGCCAAACGGTCCATTCCCGCCACTCCAGCCACATCTCGTGTATCCCGAGTACTTTCCATACGGACAATCTCCACAAGCACGCTCCGGATAGGGTCCAATGTAGAACGGATTAAAGAGCTCGCAGCTGCACATGATCTCTGGGCTAATGTCGGCGGTTCATCAATGTTAAGGCATTTCTATATGAAATACTTACATTCTGGACTTTACTGTGTGCGGTTAACAGGTTTCTTTATTCGGTAAAATTTCGATAATCGCCTCCAAAAATTGCTTTGTAATTTCCCATAAAACGCCAAAAGCCAACTATATTGTTCATAAGTATAGGATTGTATTGAACTAACCGATCGGCAATGGTTGGGGTTGGGGTTAATATATAGCTATCGTTTCATCTGGCGCGATTTGTTTGTAAACAACGGTCATGGCTAATAAATATTTGGGCATCCAACTTCCGCTTTCAAAATGTAGAGAAAAATGATTTTTCGAATATTGTTTACTCTGGGCGATATTTAATATATTTGAAAAGCATTTGTTGGAATTAGTTTGGTATTTGTGTTGTTTTTCTTGTTGTTTATTTTATTTGCGATTTGATATGGCAAAATAATTGAGTGTGAGTATTTTAATTCTGTTAGGAATTTTCATTTGCTTTAGTTGATTCTTTGACTTTTCACAAATCACTTCTTACATGCTTATATCATCATTGTGGCCTTTTGCTAAGCTCCATTGATTGGCCAGCGTCGTGCACAATGCCATTATGTGTGACAGTTGCATTTCAAATCTCATTATAGATTTATGCAAAATGTAAGCAGAAACCCCAAAGAAACACTGTCCCGACGATTTCCATATGATGAGGGTTCTCTCTTGACCACTTTAGCCCTGGCCTGCATTGATTTGTGGGGCTTTCTTTGTCGTCTCCCTCCTAGTTTTATTTTTTGTTTGCCGCAATCTCTTTGACTGCTATTCGATTACCAATTCCACTCCCATTTCGATTGCAGTTGCAGTTGATTGACTTGGCTTTTGTCGTTGACATGGCAAGAGTTTTCCGTGCAAAAAAAGAGCAGAAAGCACAATAGAAATTGCACAATTTTCCAGATGCCCACTTTAGACAGGGTTAGCTGAATATATATATCTTATCTGCTACGGTCTGTTTGCTTTGCAGATCGTTATCAACGCTTGTGAGATAGTGGAACGCAGTCCAAATGGATCGTGAAATGAGAAAATATTCCCACACTAAATGTTTATTTTAATGTCAAATGTGTGCGTGTGTGTGTGCTTTACTGGCTGCCCTTTGTTTCGTAAGAGATTCAAAGTGCGTGGGCAGAAGTCAAACTACGAATTTCCCATATTCAGTTACAACATTCAGCCAAAAATAGAAGAAAAACCACCCACAAACTTCCTCCACTTTTTGTTAGTGCCCTTGTGCAAAACGCTTTGGCACACTTTGAGCGACATTCTGTCTGCTGATTTTCGTTTTCGACTCGTTTGGCCAATTAGCTGAGCATTTAGAACTGTTGCAGCTTGGTTACCAAATTCTCGATTTGTGTGTTTGGCCTTAGTTTTTGTTTTTCCCCCGACGATTTTCCGCTGCAAAGCGCACGTTCATATCCCAAAAATAGGGCGTGACTCGGGTGATAAAGTGGAAAATATTTACTGCGAATCGTTCGCTCATCTGTGCTAATTATACTGGGGATTGTCATCGATGGATCATGTCTGGTGTCGAAACGAAACGGTTGTCACACCCCGGGCTTGGAATCTATATAACCTGAGTTCTCCAATTGCATATCTATTTATCTATATGTCTATATCTACCCTGCAATCAATTATTCTCAGCTGAGAATTTGCATATTGGGAGAGGAATTTTGTAACTACTCCGTAAGTGTGGGCCAGTTGCAATTCATTAATCTGTGGGCGTTGGGTGTCGATTGCAGGTGCAGGTCATTTAACAAATGCGTAACTGCTTTGAGGGCCATTATTTGGTATAATGAATAATGCAGTTCGTACATTCGATTGTTAATTTAGCTTCAGGCTTACAGTATGGTTTCTGCAGTTCATTTACCTTAATTGTTTGCAGTTTGCTGAACTGTAGAGAAATTGTACTATTGATTGATTAAACATTTTGATATTTGTTGAATTTTACCTATTAATAAGGCAGTTTATTATGTATTTTATTTATTATTATTTTTTACTTTCTAAAATATCAACTTAATTTGAGAGCAAGGTTCTTGATTAAAGCAATAAGTCATATGCACTTGGTTGAGATTTTATTAATATTTGTTATTCCCTGTTACTTCTAATAATCGTGTGACTTTGAATACAAATTATTTTGATTATAAAACAATGTAGTTTTAATAATAGCCTTTAGAGGTCATCTCTAAATTTCATATACTAGACATTAATCCCCACTTATATCTCACATTCAGCTGACAGTTTAAGTTTAATGCAATCAAAGTCAGAGAATGAAAGCCTCCTTTTATCGTGCTGAATCAAGAGGGCTTTATCTGCACCCTGACCTTGGCCAGGTGGCTGTGGGAAAACAAGATCCTACTGGTAGACCATCGTCATCATCACCATCATCTGCATTGCTGTCAGCACTTTCTTAGCCACCTGCTTGGCGAACAAAGAGCGGACAGGTAAATCCCCAAGATCTGAGGATTATGGCCACAGTAAACTCTTTAGAGTGCGTCAGCTGCCACTACAACTTCAAACAAAGCGACTGGCGGCGGCTCCGTTTCTCTAAGCTCTTCGGTATACACTTTATCCACCTGCCTCTTTGGTCCTTGCTGGTTCAATCCCTTTGGAAATCCTTGAGCGGCGACAACTAATGGCGCTTTGTGGTGCCATGGAATATGCATTTCGCTCTTGCCTTTGCCAGTTGAGTTGTAGTTGTAGTTAGATGAAGTAAGTGGCACAGAAGCGTGCCCCACCCAACCCACAGCCTTGCCCATTCACCCCTATTCCTTTCCTGCATGCTCCCATTACGAGCTGTACACATAATTACTCCGCTTGCGCATTCTGACGAGGCTGATGACAGTTGCCTCGTCTAACTGGGACACCACTTCCTTCCATCGGGAGACGGGCTCTCTTTCTGGTTTGTGCCCAGCTTTTGTTGTGCTCATGGACTAATTTTGTTTGGCTTTGATGGTTAAAGCACGGTGAAAAAAGAATTACTGAAATTGTTTATCATCAAGTTTCATATTAACTATGTCATATCAGAATGACTCTTAAGACATTTCTGCAACTTTACTTTGGTGAAAATGTGCGAAATATAAAAAGATTTTATAAATGTTTTAGTTGAATATAGTCTGTCATTATATATATTTAAGATATCCTTTATTGGTAGAATCAGTATCTGTATCAATAAATATAGATTTTATACATCGTTTTTCCCTGTGCATAAATGGCCCAACCAAGTTATGCGACTTCCCTGGCCTGAGCCATCAATTATGCCAAATGGAGCATATGCACATCCACTGTTGGCTCAATTTTTCAATTAACTTACCTGGTAGTTCCAGTCAGCCTTTTACCTATGGGCCATACATTTTTCGAGCCTCGGACCTGGGACAAAAGGTTATTGCCTCGGCCAGCGATTTGAGCTGATCAATTCGGCCAGACATGCAATCTCCTGTCCTGCTGTTGCTGCAAAAACGGAAAAGTCGGAATTAACACGGAATAAATCCTGGTCACCACCCCGTTTTCCCCTCGCTCTGAAATTGCAAATTATGTGCCCAGTTATCATCGTTGGAGCCGGTTGTTTGGCTTTGATTTCCCTGGCACGCAAATGGCATAAAACAGCAGCAGCACCCCGGTGCTCACAGGACTCGCAGGCGAGGAATCCCACCAGGACACGGAGTAGGACTTTCAGCTGAAACTTGTTTAATTTCTGCTTTTGCGGGAAAAGCGCACAGCAATGGGGAAAATGTGCAAGTGTGGGGGAAACTTTGATGCAGGTCCTGGACACGCTATCGTCCTCGTCCTTGTTGCTATTCATATTTCATCCATGCGGTTTCTCCGCTTTGCTCCTCGTTTCCATTTTCCATTTTCCCTGTTTCTTTTTTACTTTTTTGTTTAGTTTAGTTTTTTCTTTTAGTTCAGTTAGTAAATTGAGCATCAACGTGAGCTCCGGCTGACTTACCTGTCCCAAGAGTTCTTTTTGGGTTCACCTGGGGTCACCCATACAGGTGATGGATGGTCGGTTGGCTGGCTATTTAGACTGCTGATTTAAAGTTCCTGCTGCAAGAGGAAAACATTATCCACTTTTCCAGATATGCTAATTAAATGGATTTATTCTTTTGTTGTTTAATGGCTGTGAAAGGTTATTTTTAGAGCTTTTGGGATATGCCACTGGGGAATGGAACAGTGGAAAGTGAAGTAAAAACTTTTATCATTAAAATTGTAAATAAATGCATGAATATTTGGCAACGAACTACTTAAGAATTAAAGGTATGCCTAGAATATGAAAAAACAAATTCTGGGTACCTTCCTAAAAATGTACAAAATTTGATGCTTATGCCCAAATAAGAAAGTGCCTTTAAATACCACTATTAATAATACGGCATTTAATTTTATTTCTCTGTGGAATCAGATGGTCTTGCTTTTGCTTTTCCTTTTAATTAATAACATTGAAAGCCTGCACCTTACCAGCTTATCTAACTGCATTCAAATGCTTTGCATTCATAGTTCTCCTAAATGAAATGCCACGTTCTGCTGTCGATAAATGCTGACCTCATTTTTTAAAATACATTCGTATTTAAATAAAATTTATATTACGTATGTATATATATATTTGTCTGATTTTTCCGCTGCCTTTGCTGCATCCCATCATTCAGTTCCGACCCATTTCCCATTTAAAGGCCGAACTTAAGTCAGAGTTCAATCGCAAATTGCAGTTTGCCGGTAATGAGGTTCTGCAACTTCTGGCATACAAAACGAGTTTAATGACTTCAACTTTAAGTTCCTTGCAAAGTTCTCATCAAAAGTGTCGCCAGCAGGAGTTCCGATTAGAAAAGTTTGCCCAGCTGGCTGTGTTTTCAAATGGGGACTTGTAAATAAATGTCAGAAAATAAATATAAACAATGGACAACACAAATATGTAAAAGAACTAAGAAATCTGCATGAATCGAACTGCTGGCTGACCACAACAAAAGCTGCCAACAATTGCGGTTGCTATTGGGGAATTATTCCCAAAGTGCGAGGAGGTGTTTGGTAGTTTTGCAATGGAATTTAATATGCTGTCGACACGGGAAAAAAAAGAATTCTTAGTGCAGAGATCTCTGAATGACACGAATAGGGCTGTACGCCCCTCTTAGCCTCCTTAACCCCCTTAATGTTCACTGAGAAAAAGGGATAAGGAAACCAATTTGAAGCTTATTAAGTACAGATATGGATATATATGGAATATAGAGTACTGAAGCACTTCTACTATAATGATAAAGGAATATTAAACATTAAAATATAAAACTTTTCGGGCTATACATTTCCATTAATATCAAAGCGCGTGAAAACAATTTGAAATACACCCAAAAGCATGCTGCAAAAATGAGAGCATAGTCTTTTAGCATTTATACTTACAGCTTCCGGATAGTAGTGAGTCATACTCTTAGAACCACTTTTAAATAGAGAATTTTTTTTCCGTGTTAGTATAATCGGTGGGTGGCCACTTGGCAGACGCTCATGCGAAGAAGAGCAGCAGGATGTCAACGCTCGGGGCGAGTGGCAGCATCAAAACTGCAGCAGCCGCTGGCAATGCGGAATTCCCAACCTCTTCCCTGGTGCCCCCGTGTGCCGCCAATCTCGCCACCGTACTCCTCCTTTTACTGGCCAAACTAAAATTATTCAGCCAGGTCTTGTTGCATACTTTCGAGCGCAAATGTTTGCAGAGCATTCGCTTCGTGCCCCAAGAATTTGTGAGTGCGCTAGTGCGAGGACGAGTGTGTGGGTGTCGGTGTGGGTGTGGGTGTACGGGTGTGCGCATATTTATATATGTCCTAACGGCTGTTGTTGCTCTATTTACGTGTGACCAAGTTGAGAAGGAAAAACTAGAAGAACGCCGGGGCCTTGTGACTCATCATCCTCAATCTCTAAACATTCCGACTTCCATCCCCACACTGAGATGAAACGAACAAGTATTTTAAGATATTAATATCCTTTTTCCTTATGGAATAAATAAATACCATTTACAGAGATATTATATTAAATAGATTTCAAATATATACAAAAATCTTAAAATTTCTTCTACAATTTTACGTTTTAAGCCCATTTAAGTTATAAAGAACATTTTTAGCAGTGCTTGTAATTCCCAAGTGGACAAAGTTCTTCTCCCAGTGCAGCTCATTCCCATTGCCGTCATCAACTTCATCATCTCAGCTCCAGTTCCATTCACAGTTTGCAGTTTGAAATTGAATTTCAGTTTGGGCGACCCCTCCTCTGACCGCATTTTCCCCGTCTTGTAATAACACTATCATTTAGTTGACAGAGGGCAGCAGGAAAAAGGAAGCGGCATTTAAATGAGAATGCTTGTTTAAATTGGCCAGCTCTGGATGATGAAAGGACATGGCAGGCTGGGAGGCAGGCAAACAGGATAGGGCAGGGCAGGATGGGACATATGTTGGCATTGTGAGACAGAAATGGAAACCAGATCTACACAGAAAAGTTCCCTGATTATTTTCGTATGATGACTCAGAGATGTCTACTTGCCATTTTCCAAGGACATTTTTTTTTCTTCTTCCTCTCGTGAAAGATGGAAAATCAATTGCGAAAACTTGGGAACGAGAAGCGTGATGTGACAGCAACTTCTGAAGTTGTCGACACCCTTCTGGCGTGGAATTATGCTTCAAGGATATGACGAGGATGCTCCACCGGAAAAAGGGGGGAAGCTGCGGGGCATACTTGTCGATTAATTGGACTGGCAAAGCGGTTTATGCGAGAGTAAAAACTTTTAGCGTAGGCGGATTATTAAATTCGCTTTGTTTCACTAACTAGCTGTGGGACGCGGGGGCGGCTGATTCCCGGTCTGTCTCCCTGGATTGCTCACTTCCTCTTCCGGCGATTGCCGCCAGCAGGGATGCACCAACACCAATAGACACCAGACGATGATATCACACTTGCAAAAATTCTAGAATCAGTAGTGGGAGTCGCCAATCGAACGCAGAGATTCCATTGGAATGAATCATAAGCATATCATTAATAGACTTTTGATGGGCAATATAATCTACTAAAAAATAAATTAGAATATTATATTTTTAGATTGTTACCGTTCTTTACATTTTAATCTAAGCCTCAAAACTTGAAAGTCGCCAAAAGAAAACAGTTTTCCCCGAATATATATCTAAATTTCTCAGTGCACCCGACAACGAGCTTGTCGAAGCCAGACGCCAAACACAATAGAACATCTAAAAAGAGGGTTGAGGGTAGAGGATTGAATAGATTCCCAATGCAGGGAGAGAATCCCTCTGCGGTGGCTGTTAAATACTCTGGGCACAGAGCATTCCTGCTCCTAATCCCCTCACCACTGACCCATTTAGATGCTGCCGCATAACTATAACTATTTACGGTTATCCCTATTATAATACATATGCTTTAATTAAATTGCAGGCATATCTGTACAACAGATTATCAAGAATGGAGCTGGAGCCGCGTGTGGCCATTCTGCAGGATCTGCGGTTGCAGACCTTCGACTCCATTCGTTTCGCCTCCTACCGGACCGCATCCAAGCTGCGCTACATACAGAAGTCCACGAACCTTCATTTGGTCGACATATGGAATGTGATTGAGGCGTTCCGCGAGAATGGACTGAACACACTTGAGCCGCAGAGCGAGGTGAGCGTGGCCAGGCTGGAAACTTTGGTCTCATCGCTCTACCACAATCTCAACAAGCGCCTGCCCACCGCCCAGCAGGTGCCAGTGGACTCGAAGGCGGGTCTGCTGCTCAACTGGTTACTGGCTGCCTACACAAGGTGCGTATACTTAATCTTTTAAAGAGATCTCAATATCTATCAAATATCATAACCACTTGCAGTGATAACTCGGGCAAGATTCGCGTGTTCTCTATTAAAGTGGCCTTGGCCACCATGTGCTCCGGTAAACTGGTGGACAAGCTAAGATGTAAGTAGGAATTACCCATTAAAATATTAGTATTAGTACTAAAAATTAACCTTCTTCTCTTGACAGACATATTCTCGCAGATCTCGGACGGCGCTGGCCAGCTGGTGGCCTGGAAGCTGAGCGAGTTCCTGCGCGAAGTGCTGGCCCTGCCGGCGGCTGTGTACGAGTCGCCAACATTCCATTACAAGGAGGGGCTCGAGGAGGAGATCTTCCCGGCCGAGAACAAGGTGACAGTGAACGACTTTATGGCCACGCTGATGTCCGAGCCGGGGCCGTCCTGCCTCGTCTGGCTACCGTTGGTGCACCGGCTGGCCACCGTGGAGACCATTGTGCATCCGACTGTCTGCTCTGTTTGCCACAAGGAAAACTTCACCGGGTTTCGTTATCGCTGTCAGCGGTGTCACGCCTACCAGTTGTGTCAGGAGTGCTTCTGGCACGGCAAGACATCGCTGAACCACCAGAATGATCACGAGGTCAAGGAGTACTCGAGCTACAAATCGCCCAGCAAACAGATCGGTCACTCGCTGCGCAAGAGCTTCCGCTGTGTGCCGGAGAAGACGGTGCAGGTGCTACCCCGCTTTCCCGACCAGCCGGAGAAGACGCTCAACCTGTCGCACATCGTGCCGCCCTCGCCGCTGCCCTCGCACAACGGCTTCTCGGACCCCTCGGGCCTCGTACATGGCCACCATGGGCCAGGCCTTCCGGGCCAGCACGGCATATTTGATCGCTCCAGCACGCTCGACTCGCGGGCCACAGGTCGCAGTCTGGACAGCGCCAGCGGCACTGCTGGCACTACAATGTCTCGCGTGGCCGCCGCCTCCGCCAACGACGAGGAGCACCGCCTGATTGCCCGCTATGCCGCCAGATTGGCCCAGGAGAACAGAGCGGTGAGTACGCGTTATGATTTCGTATTTGGACTCTCTTATCATTTGTATACCCTTAATAGCCCTCCAACTTGCCAGACAATGCCACCCCCATTGGCACGGATAATTCACGGGCCCAGCGTGAATTAATTGCCCAACTGGAGTCTAAGAACAAAGAGATAATGCGAGAGATAGCGCGTCTGAGGCGCCAACAGGAGACGGAGCAGATGGCTCCGGAGAATCCAGCGCTGATCAACGAGCTACGTGCTTTAAGGCAGCGAAAAGGAGAACTGGAAGGTCATCTGGGTGCCCTACAGGATTCAAGACGACAGCTAATGGAGCAGCTGGAGGGTCTGATGCGTATGCTGAAGAACCAGCAAACCGCCTCCCCACGATCAACGCCAAACTCGAGTCCTCGCTCTGGGAAATCCCCACCAATGCCCGGAGGAGCTGGTATACTGGGTACCTCACCCATGAGTGCGCTACATGCCCAGCAAATGCAGCAGCATCCGATGGCAGGTGGAGTCAGGGCCACCCAGCAACAACTCCTTCAACAGCAACAGCAGCAGCAGGCACATGGTCATGGTCCATTTAGCCAGAGTCAGCTGGAGCAGCTCAACCAGATCAGCAGCGATATGCGTAGCGCCTTCGCGGCCAACGGAAGTGCAAGTGAGTAGGGATTGGAGGGGATGACCCATGGGATACTTTTCGGTTAGGTTCGATCATGTCCAAATTTTGATAACCCCCTGTGGAAAATTGGTTAACGCGAGAGTTTAGGCCTGGGTTCAGAAAGATATTAATCGTATACTCCGCTCAACAATGCGGGAACACCGCCACTGGCAAATAACACACACCTAAAAAAACCAAAGAACCCAAAATCACCTGACCAACCATCCAAAAAACACACGCTCTCACGCCCAAAAACACACTCGTTTCTTGATCGCTTCGCCTTCGCAGCGCCACCGCCAATGCGCACCACCACCGCCACTGCCAATGTCAGTGCCATTCCCAGCCTCAATCCGATTCAGAATCAGAATCCGAATCCCGACGCGGAGCTCAATGAGGCCGCCGATCATCTAACATCGGCCATTTCCCACATGGTCAGCGACCTGAACGCAGGTAAATCGTTGGATTCGATTTCACCCTACCAATCGCTTTCGCTTCTGAATCCGCAACTGCATATGCATCTGCCGCTCCTGATCCTGCCTCCCAAATGATGCTCGTGAATGGTGATATGCACTGCACCAAGCACGTAGATTTTGTAGTAGCACCGCTTCTAGAGCCACCAAACCAAACACAATCCCTGCTCCAAATGGAATGTTTTCACTCTGTGCTTATCCGTGTTCTTTTTCGGTGTGCGTATTGTCTTTGGGTCTCACCAATTTCCAGGACGGGCCAGGGCTCATCAGGGGCCTCAGCCAACGAGCTCCCTGCCGCAGGCTCGTTTCATCATGCCACTGGGTAAGTTGTCCCGGGCTGCATCGATCCGATCCAAAACGATCCTCCTGTTCCTGCGCTGTGTCCCACTTCTCTAAAGCGACCACTTTTTTCCGTTTTATTTTCTTCGTTTTCTCAAACCGTTTGATTTTAGATTATTTTCCTAATAGACGGCATAAGAAAAAATGCTGCAAATATTGAAGCTCCTCCCAGTTTGGTTAGTTGCCCTTTATAATTTTCGCTCATTTCTTCTGTATGTCAAATCGGGGGACCCATCCAATAAACCAAACCAAAACAAAACAACCCAATAAAAACCGATTAAGATTTCCGACACATCGAGGGCGGCGAGTCCGAGGACTCGAGTCAGTGCGAGTGCAACGATTGCGAGTGCGGGGAGTACGAGGAGGTCTTCCGAACCGATGAGGATCTTGAATGCGAGGGAGCCGCAGCTCCCTTCGGTGATCCATATATCCCGTACCATCCTACTACTAGCGTTCCCGAAGAGGACCACTTCGATTATACATTCGGGCAGGGCGAGGAGCAGTCGCAGGTCAACCGCATCCTGGGCTACCGAAATCACCCGGAACTGTTCATCGACGATGACCAGGCCGGTTTCCCGGCGCTTCACGAGATCGGTGAGACAATCGATGAACTGCAGCTGATCATGCACGCTTATATCATGAAGTATAGTCTGAATTTATAAAGTGTTCGTCGTAGGTTACCAAAAATATATACTCTCCGATCAGGTAAAATATGCAAAATCTACTGCCTCTAGACCATCTTAGCTCGCTCGACACACGACTCTCCACTCCACCGCAGGTAGATCTCAAGTCGGGGCTCTATCAATAGTTATTTCTATAGTTCTACTATATAGCTCATCATCATCGCTGCACTCTCAATCGTCTCTCTATCTCAATCTCAGTCAGTTCATCCTAGTTAGTCTCTAGATTTGATTCACGTTGGCTGCTTGACTCAAAGGATTCGAATAAATTACCTGATTTTGATTTGTGCCTTTAAAGTTAATACATATGTTTACCGCAAACTTGATCAATTTCAGATTTCGACGAATCTCAATCTTATAACCAAGAGTGGAACGAAAAGGTAAAGGATTTCGCCACGAAATCCTGCTCACTGTTGATCTAGATGTTGTTCTTTGCCATTGTCTATCCTTATTTATCTTTCTCCTCTGTACATGCACTCTATATACCAAAAATTAAACGAACTATATATCTATATACTCTGTAGCTAGTGTAGTGATTGCCACTTTTCGAATGCCATTCCATGCCCAAACTTTAACTTGAGTACGATTAAACAGAATGCGTTTTCTTAATGACTTGATTTTAACTTGATTTTAATCTAATTTCACAGGCAAATGCGAATAGCCAATGGCAGGAGCAGTTTGCACAATGGAGTCTTAATTCGCAAAAGAACTAAGACCTCGCCACCAGTGGACCAGTGGAAACCGCAGGACTGCGAATCTCCGAAGGCAGCTGGACAGATGAAGACGAACTCTCGCTTAGCTTTTTACCTTACCTTAACTCATATGTTGACTTAGAGCAATTTATTTATTGATTATTTTATTGAGCCGTAGCCTACACTACCTTTATCAATTTAATTTATACTTTGAGGATTGGTATCTTACACAGTATGTAATATGTATGTAAGCATATATATATACATATATATTATTATTTTATTGAAGCAAAGAATATGAATATAGTTGATAAACAAGACTTGCAGTTGCACTGCATTTTGAAGTCGCAAATCCATTGAATCTCGTTGAAACTTTTACGATCGTACTGCTAAAGGGCAATAAGAGGTATGGCGTTTTAATTTTAGGTTTCCACGAATTCGTAATTGGCTTTTAGATTTTGTAAGCGCCCGCGGCAGCGGATATTTATTACCATGAAACTTAACAAATTGAAAATCAAATCACGTAATGCATAATACAAATACGATATAGACATTTACATATTATGTACTTAATAACTAGCAACTTGTTGAGAACCTAAAATCAAATTCTAAATGCTAAACATTATACAGATTATACACACTTTGAGATACGATAAAGCCAACAACTATTTGAGCCACAACAAAAAAAAACCCAATGTTAAACACTAAAACCGAAAAAGTAAAACTAAAAATTTATATATTATCCATTTATAATATGCATTCATACAAGAAAAGTTATACCATATAATCGTAACGGCATAGAGCACGAGATAGAGAAAATCCGACATTTATAGAACTTATACATAAATACTGAATAATATTACAAAAGAGAAAACTAAATAAAAAGGCATTTTAAACAATCACATTTAATGACTTCTTCTTAATCGTAGAAAGTGCATCTCAAACTTAACTATTACCCACCGTTTAAAAATCCGTTTCCATAAATTTTTAATTAATGATGCCATTCGGAGCCTGACTAATATTGCCACCTGGCATCAGGTTTGTGTCATAACTACACACATCTTCCCACCCCTGGTTAGTGTCATAGATGTGCCATTAGCAAAGTTCTTTACCGATAGACCAATTCGTACTTCGGTGTTTTTTAGGCATACAATAATGGCCCATCTCTATAAAACTCGCGCTCTTGTCGGCGCAATTTTTAAAGCCTGGGTTTCATTCGTTCCGCGACTTTCGAACTGTGAAGTTGACTTTGTGACGCGTTACCACCGTCTTGGCCAAAACTCGTGACTGATCGAGAGAGCAAGTCTGAAACCAGCTTAGAGCGAGAAGACAAGTGTTGGACACTGCAGTTCAGCATCCGCGTTAGCCGTGCAAGAGAAAGAAACGGCCATAGTCGTCTTTAGTTTTTGGAGACGTCTTCGCCGCGCTCTCGCATTCTCTTGAGAAAGATAGAGATCTTGGAGCGCACCTCTTGAGAAATACTGTATATTATATCGCGCGCTTGCAGGGTGTGGTGCTAAAAGTCAATTCATAAGATGTGGCGCCCGAGTATCTTAAATTGCGTGTGGAGCACCCTGCTCCTGGCTATTGTTATCCAGCAAACAGAGGCCCAGCGAACTCCGACCATATCCTACATCACACAGGAGCAGATCAAGGATATTGGCGGAACTGTGGAGTTCGACTGTTCGGTTCAGTATGCCAAAGAGTATAATGTGCTGTTCCTGAAGACGGACAGCGATCCCGTCTTCTTGTCCACGGGATCGACGCTGGTCATTAAAGACTCGCGCTTTTCGCTGCGATACGATCCCAATTCATCCACCTACAAGTTGCAAATTAAGGACATCCAGGAGACGGATGCAGGCACCTACACCTGCCAAGTGGTGATATCTGTCGTTCACAAAGTCAGTGCCGATGTGAAGTTATCGGTGAGGAGACCTCCCGTTATCTCGGACAACTCCACGCAATCGGTGGTGGCCAGCGAGGGCAGCGAAGTCCAGATGGAGTGCTACGCCAGTGGCTATCCCACACCCACCATCACCTGGAGGCGAGAGAACAATGCCATTCTGCCTACGGGTGAGTTTCGTCATTAATTTCCATAGTTATTTGTAAGTTATTATTTTGACTTACGCTGGTTAAGCTAGCAGGTACGTTTGATGGGGCGCGTTCTCTGGCTCTCATTTCGCTCCCGCTCTTTGGGCACGTCGCTCTGTCCGTCCCGCTTTGGCTTTAGCTTTTAACTGGGCTCCAGTGTGAGTGACCGTGACTCACTCAGGCGTCACCTTAGTTTTGTTTACTCGGCCTGTTGTTCTTCTAAATGGGACTCTAGCTCTTGCTCTGCCACCCCCAACTAGTTCGAGGGCTAAGTTTCGCAACACAAGATTGATTTTTCTGCTCTTTCTTTTTAGTCATTTTCTTTTTAAAGCATATAAGTACTTCCACCCTTTGTTAACTTAGTTGGCCTTTTAAGTTTTTTGGGAAAAACCAAATAACAAAAGAAAATCTAAAAAAACTGTTTAGCAAGTTTGTTAACTCAAGAGTATATTAAGTTTTCTATGAGCAGTTAGTTTTTGTGGCCTTGATTGCTGTTCTTATTCCGAACTTTTACAACATTACGCACTTTCCTAGAAAATATTGTTACTTGTTCTTCTATAGAATAAAAAAGTCTCCCTTGGCGAAATTATAATCTCAATTTGTGATAGTACGAAATCGGGATTCCAGATTGCTCAAGTTCAAAGGCTATCACAGTTTTTCTAAAATCTCATATTATTCCTCATATAAATACCTAGGTTCAGCACAAATATTTGTTTCACTTTAGCTAGAAATTATTTATGATCTTCCACCCTCTCTTCATTTTCCACCCATTTCAAGGTAACTGTCCATTTTCTTGGGAAATTCCAGGTCGGACAAGTGCAATGTGCTATCTCTAAATTGTTTGCGTTTCTTTGTTCTCTTCGAAAATCTTGAAAATGAGAGAAAAGCTAATAAAACAGTAAAATAATTTGGTGTCCAGGTAGATTGTACAATAGAACCGTCTCGCAAGGTTAATCCCATACAGGTGCTGCTGTTCTATAGCGATCACGATCTTTACCTGAACTCTGACCCTCAGACCGACATAATGGTTTCCTTTAACAAGATTGCAGCGTCATTTGCGAGGCAGTCGAAAGGCAATTAGTGTAACTAATCCGATAGTAACTTATTACCCAGAATAGACACACGGACACACCCTTCCTAGCTTTACTGTACCTAAAAGCTGGCTTAATTCTCCGGTTTTTTGTATCTATTAGCTGGCTTGTGCAATCTTTAATTGCCACGACATTGAGTGCTCCTTCTATGGTTAAAATAAAAACAGGCGTGCCCTGCTACAAGCTATAAAACCCAGCCGCAACCAGTTGGATACGCTCCATGGCAATCCAGAAATGGCTTAACTTTTTTTCGCCATAAATCAAAAGGGCCATTGGGTTTGAGGTCCAGTATTTGCCAGGAGTTTCACACTTTTCCACGCTCTAATTTAAAGCGCTTAAGCAAACAAAACTGTTCGTCCAGTTCGCTTTGAAATGCGCCAACGAGCCGAGTCAAATGTTTATAGGGGGTTTTCCGGGAGTTGGATTTGTGTCCATGGGTTAGGTGTACACACCCGGAGGTGGGCCGTGCACTGACGAGGAGCTCTTGCTGCAGCCTTTGTGCCGCATTTCACGTTCACGTTTCACATTTCCATTCCCATTCGAGCTTCTGAGGCATTCGACAACTTCAGCACGCGCAATTGCTTCCGCAACTTGAAAACGTTCCACGGACTGTTTGATGGTCTCCGGGACTCCAACTCTCCGCCTCTCCCAGTACGGGCGTAAACAACCCGTGCAAAAAAAAGGAACGGTGCGGCAGAGGGCTGTTTCTTACACATCAGACACGGTCTGGGCTTTGGGTGGGATAAAAAATAAAACTGAAAAATACAAAAATGAAACAGAGAAGGAACGAGTAAACAGCAAACATACGCAAACAAAGGGATCCTGAGAGCATGGCAAATGGGCTGCGCCCCCTGAACAACTCCCAAGCCCACACCCCTTACCTTTACGCCCTTCCCCTTTCCTCCTTCCGCCACCGAATTCTCGGCTACATAATTCTTATTTTGATAGCCGGCAAAATACAATCGAAGTATACAAAATATATATAAATTACAAGCTAAAAAGGTAACCCAAACAAAGGCCGGTGGTTCCTGGGGCGAGTACAATGTAAGAGATGCAAACAAACAAGCCGCGAGCGGTTCGCCCTTGCCCCTCTATCTAAACAACCCCTGATCCTCGATCTAACCTTAACCCCCGGCTCTGTATGTTCCCGCCCAGGGACCAACTGAGGAACCCCTTATCAACCGTTTCCGCTCACCAGCTCACCAGTTTTCAGGGTGTTGAGGAGTCCCAGGGTCCGTCCATGCCAATTTGTGCGTTGCCATGCAAATCGATTGGTTTTTTGTGTTTTGGTTTTTATTCATACATTTATTGAACGGCCAAACAAAGTTGATAGTAGATGGCCATTGAGTAAACACAGACATGTGCAGCGTTTGCACCTGGCACCTGGAGCTATCTGCTTTATATGCTGGCCCATGCAAAATCCGCTACCATAATAAACCTCACCTTGGCCCGGCAAATACAAAAACAAACCCAAAAGAAGCACGAGATATCAGACTTTTTTTTAGCAAAGAAAGCAAAAAATTAAAATTCAATTTTTGCTGAATTTTCAAACGACGGCAGCTGTCGACATTTGGGCTATTGTTGTTTTCTTTTCAAGCGGAAGTGAGGCATCTTTCAGATACTTATCAGTTCGAGGGATCGAGGATCATGCTAAATTAACTTTAATTGTTCAATTATAAGCCAGTGAGAGTACCAAACTCGGCTTCCAATCTCGCACAGATCACAGATCGGGGTGTCTGCGCACTCACTCTACTCGTATAATACAACTCCGGAACTGCCATTACAATCCACTCTCCCTCGGCTAAGTTCTTGATTAACTTTCATGCAAATTGTGTTTGCTGGCAAATTGCGAATTAGACTCAAGTGAGCATGATCAAGTATTCCAATTTCGTCATCAAACGCTAAGTGCTAGGGTGCAAGTCTTAATGTTAATAATATTTATGCTTAAACATTTCGATGCGCAATTGATGCTCAACTCGAGATCTCAACAGGCCGTGCACAAGATTAGTTGGCTGTTGGCTCTCCCCCCGAAAAGTATTTGGCTGCATAACGGAAAATTGAAATATATGTACATAATGAAATTCCTCAGATGCCAGAGGCAGCAGCTGTGTGTTTGAGTTTTAAAATATTTGCAAGCAATTAGGTTTGGCACACTCGCAATTAGAGGAGTGACGATGACTGGGGGAGTGGTCCGAATCCTTTGATGGTGGCTATGTTTTTATTTGTCCTTCTGCTGCTGCTGCTGCTGTTGATGTTGCTGTTGCTGTTTCCTCTTCCTGTTTGCCGTGGGTTGCATGCTTTATGGCCGCTTCAGTTTCCAGTTGCCAGTTGCAAAGTCAAAAGCAATAGCAATAGCAAGAGCAAAACGAGAACGGGAACGGGAACGATAAACGCCGATGACGTACAAAAAGCGTTGTGGAAAACCTGTTTGTAAATGTTGGTTGCTGGGGCAACGACCACTTGGTCAACATGGGGCCAACTGGCGGCTTTCAGTCAGCCACAAAATGCACAGAGTCGAAAGAGAAGAGAGCCCTTTGTGGCAATCACTCAGCTTGAAGTAATAACTTGTTAGTTAATAGCTGGAATGCACGGCTAAATCGTCCCAGTTTCCGTCTGTCCAAAAGGGCCATTTTGCATGTCCATATCCCTTTCCATGGGTTTATCACAGTTATAGAACTTTGTCAGTTTAAGATAAACTAAAAGTCGTGTTTTTATGTCTGATTTTGAAATACAAATTTATTGAATTTCACTCGATAAAAGATTATGTTATAGTATAGGATAGGATACCTGCTCTTTAAACCCATAAAAGTTCCTAAGTCCCTATCCTAATGCATATCCCTTGAATCACTAAACAATTAAAAAATGTTTAATGAATAAATAATCTTTCAAGATCTTTTTTCCCTGTGTAGAGAATCCCTTTCACTTCACATACATTTCGGTGTGGCAATTCCCTTATTTGTTTAGCACTCTTAGCTGCATGTTTCACCTTCAGACCGGCTTTTTAATCCTTATCACACTCACATTCTCACACAATAGGACACGCGGCTTTACCAAGCCCCCCAACCCAATCCAGCCCAACCAAGTCCAACCCATCTCACCTCCCTTCAAACGCAATTGTTTGTGCCGGGACTTAGCCAATATTTATTTAGGCACTCGGCTCACAAGGGATTTACGTCGGTCAGCCTTCTTTCACTCGCTTATCCAGTTCTTTTTTGGCATAATTGCTATTTTAATAGTTTTCTTTACAATTCCTTGATTTATGATTCCCTGAGTCGAGCAAGTACAGTCTGCAATTGAGTTTCCCCAGACGCCGAGTAGTAGTAGCGAAGGTGGAGTGGAGTGGAGTGTAATCCAATAAATGGCATGCCAGGCGGCATAACTCTCGGCCAGCTATAATGTACTACTCGAGAAGGAAAATCACTTTTGAAAAGTCAACAACACAGCCCAGCCCAGCGTCTGTGGCTTTGTCTGTCGGTGGATTGTGGGTGGTTGACTGTCCGGAGGGTGGATCCATGTCACTCGGTGCGGTTTCAAGGCGAAGGCCCACCAAAGTGGGTGCATTCACATGTCTCAAGAGCTTGTTATATGCTCGATATGTATGTGCAGCGGTTACAGCAACCTCAGCCAGAACAAGTGAAGCCCTCACCCAGCTCCATTCCCGGCGCCTTTCCTCATCCCCATGTTGATGTTCCTTGATGAGTTTGGGGTGACAAAACAGGAAGAGGCGACAAATTTGCAGAGGCATGCAATTTTTCCATAAGAGTGCCTAGCTAGAGGAGTAGGAACTGCAGCTTCTGGCGTTGCATTTACCAGGTGTTCCTGGGCAATCAATAAAAGAAGCTGTTAGCTGGGGGAATGAAAGCGTTAACGCTCTTCGTGGGTTTAATCAAC